TTAATATTCTAATTTATTATCTCATCCTTTTCCCAGTCTTTCTCTTTCTTTCTCGCTGATGTGCGAGCGCTGCCTTTTGGCGAGCTCTCGAGAGAACGCATACGCGTCTCTAGAAACGCATGCGCGTTTCACAGCGAATTATTATCGGGGAATTTCCACCGATAACAGGTTGATAAAGATTCATAGCGGAATTTAATTTTCAGATTAAATCATCGCCACATATACATGCATGATACTGTATAGACCGGGTTTATTTAATAAACTATTTTGGTTTAATTTAAAGAAATATTTGGAATTCTGCAATTTTGAGCATCGAGACAGTTCAGAAGCTGGTGAAAACGCCGGTGAGAATGATATCGGGGTTTTTAGCTCTGCTCTTCAATATGACCATTCCATGATTTTTACTATCCCCAAAAGAAACTGCAATATTGTACTCCGATTTCGCAGAAAATTCAAGGCTTCTCAAATTCCGAACATGGTGGAATCAGTTGGTGCAAGAAAAATAGTAGCACTGTTTCTAGTTCCAAAGGGCACTATTTTTTTTTTCTGGCTGACTGAATGATTACGAAAGCCTCGGAGATGTTCTCGAAAAATGTATAAAAGCGCTGATGACGTGCAGAAAGTGCTTCTTCTCTATTAGCAGTAACCTGTTTAGATGGGTCTCATACAGTTGGCACAATTATTAGAGGTCCATGCAATATGACATGTGGACACTACGACGTTTTTTTCGAAACCAGGACATTCTCCAGCATGCAAGCAAACATTCTGTGAATGCATAAAAACATGTGCAACGATAGTTGTGACATATCAAGTACCAAGCGTGCCTAAATATTAGTACCTCAAATTCTACGTCTTCCGAAAATTCAGAAGACGTTTTCGAAGAACACGTCAGTAATTTGAACCTAGTTTATGATGCTTTCCCACTTTCAACTTTTCACATTTTCAGGAAAGAAAACACACGTGAAGTACAAATAACCCGGTTTTGCCTCGAAAAACGACTCACACTAAAAAAAATTCGCTTGGTAACAATTTACGAATGAATTTATCCCAGTATTTTTTTTGGCAGAATGCTTTCCATACAAGGAGTCCTTTATTGCAATAAATTATGCTGTTCGTTTGAGGGCTCACTGTGCTGTAGTCTCTGCATTAAAAACAATATTTTCTAAAGCTATTTTCTAATGCTATATTTTCTAAAGCTTGTTCAATTGTTTTTCGTACGATGTACGTCCAAGGCTGCTACCGCAATGTGTTGGTTGTTCAGAAAATCTGAAATGTATTGTACAATAAAGTACGTCGAATTTCGCGTTTCTGCGGAAAGTTTTTTCTTTGCAAGCAATAAAGTACGTCGAATTTCGCGTTTCTGCTGAAAGTTTTTTCTTCGCAAGCCGATTTGGAGAAACGTTGGTGGCAAGTGTTTTTTTTCTTCTTCTTCTTGTGAATGAATGAATGAATGAACAGGCCTACAAATGTGACGTAGGTAATTATCCGGGTTTATTCCCTAAAAGTCCCACACGCTGATGGGAAACGCCTTGGATTCAGGGTCTTAGCGAAGCCGAGGCGGAATAATGAATCGTAAGTAGCGATCAGAACCCTTCTAATCACCGGGCTCGAAGCATTCTTCGTCAGATAATCCTCAGGGGCGTGGGTCCAAGCTCAAAATCAGTATCTTTCGACGAGAGAGAGAGAGAAAAAAAGGTTTTTCTTTTTTCGGGACGAAAAAATCCCTCGCAAAAGGTTGATTGACGCAGCCTTAATTGTGCCGTTTCCCAGCTAGCCGACGCCAGGTGGATAAAAAACTGGGTCACTTGTTGGTTCTCACGGGCCGGAAAAGTTTTTCAAGGGAATTTCTCGGGTTCCGAAAGGGCGGAAAAGCTTCTCCCTGCATGGTCTCAATTAAAACGATTCTGCGAGAAAGTCGTTGTTTTGTTCGGTGACGAATGCGAGGATCATCAAATTGCGCCCGCCAAAAAAATTTGGGGCGACCCTGGAATCCCGAGGGTCCGGGGGTTTCAATTACGCGGAATTTTCGACGTTCGTTTGCGTTAATTGAGACGGGAGGAAGTCAATCAATCTTATTGAGGCGTGACCTTGTTTGAAGTTGACCAGCTGGCAGTTATAAATACGGAAAGATGCGAAAGAGAAAGTTGATTCATGGACATTATCACTTGAGCCCTAACGAAGTGATCCTCGGTTTATGCGCCTTGCTGGAACTATTTCAAGCTGCGACCAGGTTTTATTCCACAACATAGTAAAATGTGATGAGATTATACTCATTGAGGGTGACACCGTTTTCAAACGACTTCGTAAAATCCAACTTTATTGACGCCCAGTTGATCGGAATTTTGGAAAATCAATTACCGTAGTTTGAAAGTCTTGAAAATCACAAATGAAAATTGCAAGCGAATGACGAATTTTCCTGATGATATACTATCCTTCTACCGCGTGACAAGTTTAATCGGCGTATTTTAAATATAATTGTGTGCACCTATTTTTTTTATCTAATGTGAAACTTTTTCGAATTGTGCGGAATTTTCAAACCTTACGAAGGGGAATATTTTTTCCGACAGTTCAAATTTTTCTCCACAAAGAAATGTATTTTCAACTACTGTACTTTTTGTTACATCGTACCAACTTTTAAAATTCAAATTTCTGAAACGAATGGATTATTCAACTCAGTCTAGCTAATTATATGTGTTTGCACTGTGCGTGTTGCAAACGTTTTTTTTTTTTTTGGCGTGTCTGTATACTTCAAAATTCTCAAAATCTGTTCATATTCCTGTTACTCGAAGACTCTTCTTAACTACTTGCCTTTTTTCGTATCCAAGACTCAATAATTTAAATTATCTTTCCATTTCTCGCTTTCTGGAACTGAAATGCTAGACTGAATACATTGAACGTCAGTGCTGATTTTTTTTAGAGCATTGTAGGAATTGTATGGCCTGTGAAGTCATTTCAAGTCCTTCACGTTCAAATCCCGCTCCGACGATGTCTAAAAACTCGTGAATATATTATTGCTGTTGCTTATTCTTGTGTAAGATTATTGAACTGTTTTGAAGGAGTTGATCTCGTTTAAAATGTTTTACGCCATAATTTGCTCTTCACGATTTATCCGAGTTTCATGATCAGATGTCATTTTCAGTTTAGATGTTTTCGCGGGTAACACGAAACAGTGTGTTCTATATGCAGGTCTATAATCCGCTTTGAACGGGATTTGTTCAAAATGATACAACGTACGGATGTTTTTTGCTAAAATGTTCATTTCAATCCTGGTAGTTTTTACTCCGCTATCGTTCCTACGACTTGAGTCAGCCCCAACTTGGATCCTTTTTTCGTTCAGGATTTCTTCTTTTCTTTTCGTGTCATGTTTTCTTGTGTTTTGCGTAATGCACCTCGAACTTATAATTTTCATAGAAGAAGAAAAATAAACATTATACCGCCCGTATTTGTCTCAATATAAAATGTAAACGAATGTCAGAAAAAGAAAGTCGCTCAAAATTAAAATTATGCTGGCTGTGCTATTTTTTCTGTGTATTGACATCAGGGCCTAAAATATTACAAAATATTTTCCGTTTGAGTCTTTTTTAGAGTACTGTATATTTCTATAGCGAAGCTTTTTTTGAAAATCAATTACAGTGGAATTTCTTCGAAACAAAAACGTTGGGACTTGTAAAATTCGTTGGAATAGAAAATTCGTTATATTGTGGGGGAAAAAATGTGGCTATGCTACAGGGACCTAAAAATCGTTGTAAGGAATAATTCGTCATAATCGTGTTCGTTGTAACGTGATCATATTCTAGTGCGAAGAAATCGTTCGTGTCCTGGAAATTTTTCTGCGGACTTCAAAAATCGTAACTTCTTGATTTTTTTACTCCTCGTGATGAATGAGGACTACGAGGAGATACAGTCCTACACTACATCATCGTGTTTCTAGCAGATTCTCTGCTGAACATACTTCTCATTTTTTTCATCTATCATTTTTTCAATTATAAATTCTTTTATAATTCTGGATCCCCGGAGAAGTCCCCCTTTATGCCCTCGCGGTTCAGATAATGAAGCATGAATAATCGGAATGATACTGTACTGCGTTTCGTTGCAATCATGGAGCTGTGATGATGTTGTATTGCGAAATTATAGCCCACATTAAAAATCCTTACCCTTTTCCGGAACATTCCAGACGTGCCGCTCACGCAACCGGAAACGGAAGTACGGATTTATCACGGCGCACCTCCAAGAACGCTGGTGACAACTGTTGAGGCTTTTCCAGAGAATCAATCGTCTCATCGACCAGATTACCGAATCTACGAAGGGAAAGACCACGAATACTTCTCTATTGATTCGGAAACCGGTTTGTTTTATTTCTCCTTAGATATACATTCCGTTCAGCTGTCAAGTGTTCATGATTTTTCCACTTTTCCAGGGAAAATAACCACGACGAGGACGATTGAAAGAAAGCCCACGTCGTCGTATGTGATCATAGTCATTGCGTATTCCGACGGGAAAACGGAAGTCTTCAAGCTGAAAGTGACGGTGGTTGAGAAGAATCAGTTTCCACCGAGGTTTTCCAGGGATGTTTACATGTGAGTAACGCGTTTTCAGCCTTATTTTTTCTTCTTCTTGAATAAGAGGTTCACGGATGGGCTCCTGTATAAGGAGTGATTCAAATAAGGAATAATCCGGGTAAAGAAATTCTAAAGAAATGACCCACTCAGCAATGTTTTTCTGCATTAAAACAAATCCATTGCGGATTTGAACTAGGTACACATGCAATACTTGAAGAATTTTTATTGAAAGACAACAGGAAAAAAAATGTTTCAACTTTTCAATCCAAGAACATTTAAATGAATGAAATTGTAAGTTTAAAATTGTCATGTATATAGTAATTGAATTTTTCGCAAATGAATTCTGAACCACAACGTTTTTAATGATAACTTGACGAATCACACCTGTTCTAAAGTCTGCCAATGATGTTTTGAGGCTTTTGTTGTCCCAAGTAGTTATTCAAAAAGTTTCGAGAATCGGGTACCGAAACTGAGTTTGCAACGGATTACATTTTTTTCAAGTATAATTTTTTTTACTCTTGATTTCATCAAAATTTCTTCATAAAGCTCATGCTGGCGAGACTGTGTACGTTATGCGGGACACAGTGTACAGTAATACTGAAAAAAATTACATTTCTTGAACATGAAGGGTTTCTGGCGATCACCTTGGTCTTTAAATCTGCAAAATGAATTTACTTTTAAAAACAACGTTTTACAGTAGGCGACATACGCCGGAAACGTATATCTTGAATCGCTCAGCAGAAAATCGAAGAACAACGTTTTTAAATTGGGGAAAAATTTTGCATTCGGTGTAAGACTTATTTTCTCTCGTCGGACGCCACGTTTCATATTCCAATCTGCCATTTGGTTTAATGCGAATCTGCGCTGGGGAAAACCGATTTATTTTGCTAAATCACCCATCTTTGCCCTTTTTAATGTCGTGTAGGTTTAACCTGCATCACCCCTCTGACCAGAAATAACCCAAGAAGTCCTATATAAAAAAAAAACTCTCTTGACCTGCATTTTCCCAGTTCCTGCGACATGGAACTGCGGCAACAATGGCAAACCCCACCCCTGATCCCATTCCTCCTACGTCCCACGCATTGCAAATAATGGGCTTCACTGCACCCCTTCCTTTAAATGTATCATCAGTAAACATAAGAGAGAAAAATCAGTTGATGCATTGGGAGTAACTTAGTTGTGCTCTGTTTCCTGCTCTGAAGTGATTAAATGTCTTTGGGTGGATTTGGGTTGGGTGGGGAGGGGGTTTGGATGTAGACATCTTGATTGAACTTTGTGAACGCTGAAAAGCGGCAAATAGAGTGTTCTGTTTATTCATTAATTTATTGTTGTGCTGTCACAGCCGCCACATTGGCTGCCACTTTGGCGGCTGTGAAGGCGGCTGTTGATGAAAATGGCGGAATTGCCTTTGATGACCTGGAGGCAACCCTTAGAAAGAATGTCAAGTTGATTTCAAAAATTCTGAGGGGAAAGCTGGGCTACAAAAAAGGGCGCCTCATCTTTTGTTCGGAGAGCAAAACTCTGCAAGGGTGAATTATGAAAAAAATGCAAAAAAAATTGTCAAACAGGGCTGATCTTTTTTTATGTGCCAAAGAATATGTTTTCCCTAAAGAAAAAATTTGGTTCAGCTCAACTGTAAGCCATTTTCATTGCTACTCCAAGAACTTTTGTTAGAACCCTTGTATGTAGTGCCCCGGATGTAGTGACACCCTTGCATAGTGCCACGCATTGCCAAGGAACAAATCACCCTCCTTGGTGTTGTTAAGGGAAACTCAAATTTAGTTTCAACTCACTTAGTGCCACAAAAATGTCGTTGCCCTGAATGAAAAGTAGGCCAAAGCAGAGAAATTAACTCATCTTTCCGGGGATATCATCAGGTTATTACTCAAAATAATATTAACATATTCAGGATACTACCTAAAGAAATGTTGATTTCCGAATTTACATCTTATTGGGTGGTTCCACGTGAATATCATCCACATCAAAGAACATCTCAATCACTGGGATAGTCTTTTTTGAAAAATTAAAAATTTCTCCACCTGACTTTGGAATTTTTCTTTTTTTTGTTGGAAGGTTGATACAAAACTCCAGGAAACAGCTCCATTCTTCCACTTGACCCAAATATGTGCAGAATCGAATATATTCTACGCTAAACATATATTTGTATTAAAACCAGTTCATTTGAGCCTGAAATTAATTTATTTTGGCTTTCCTTTTTTTTTTTAAACAGACTCAATGGCCTAGCCGTTTTGCTTAAAAACCGGTATTACCTACAGTAGAAGCCCTCAAATGAATTTTCTTTTGATACAGTACCCCCGATTTAGTTTGTACCGGCACTAAGCATGGGTGGTAGTAAATCGGGGTTCGATTGTACGTACGAAGGTGCTTTTGTAGTAATCCTAGCAAAAATATCTTCCACCTAACTTTCAGATTTTACGGTTAATATCTTAGTGAAAAGATTCAGATGACACCTGAAAAATAAAAATAAAATTCCAAGAAACAAGGATGTTGGACGCGTCAGCGAAAATCACGCATTCTATTCCCCGAAAAGGAAAGGTGACCCGAGAGTAGCACCATCAGTACTTTCTAAAGAAAAGTACCGAGACGTAATGCACCCAGTACGAAAAGCACCTGATGACATTTGGGCACACAAAAAGCATCCATCAAAGATCACCCAATCACCGACCATTTTTCGGAATGGTATTTCCGGTTCTGTTTCTTCTTTTTTTGTATTAAGCATCAATTTTGACGATGCTCAATGCGCATGAAGAATCACACTTTCATTTTTTTTATAAAACGAATGCGTAGAAAATCGCTTAAGGTGAAGAAAAAATAGACTTCGAATTGGTATCTTTTGGCCTGGTATTTTGCGCATATTTTTCCTGGTCCATTTTAAAAATTATTCTATTCGTGAGAAAACAAACGAGGAAAATTTAATTCATTACAATGAATTAAATTCTATTCTATCGGGCGATTTTAATGGGTCCGTATTTACCGCATTATATTTTCTGCCTTCACTTGATTTATTTCCGGGTGTTTTTCTCAATGTTGCTTTTTATGTGGGAACTTTTTTTTTTTTCGCCACTGGCGACGCATCACCGATCATCAGTTCGGTTCTGCCGATCATCTACTTAACGGACTAATCACTTTAAAATTATTGACCATATTTTGTCTGCTGAAGTCTAAAAAAGCCATCTTTTTACCAGTGCTCCTTGTCCAAGGAATCCTGGTTTATGCGAACCAGGGAGGGGAGTAATGATACAGTACATAATTGGTGTAATGGCCTATTTCCGTCTGGCGCACCTGCTTCTGGGTGCAGTGTCCGCCAGAAGTACTATAGTACAGTATACCCAAATGTTGTACTGTACTGCCATGGTCCAGAGAAACAACAAATTCCCATTTAGAAAAATTTCGCTGCATAAATGCAGAAACTGTATTTATCGGACATTCCTTGATATTTCCATTCTTCGTTTCATCTCACCAATCATTACAATTTGCAGAAAAAATACTTATGAAGATTTTTTTTGCTTAACTTTTGATTTTAGAGGTGAAAGCAAAGGCCTTCCTCTTCCCAACGGCTCCTTGAAAAGTGGCGTATGGTTTTCTTTTTTTTTTTAAGTTTAGGTGTAGCTTTAAAAGTTTGCATAAATGCTCATCTGTGCACAGGAAGAACCCAGAATTCAAATGCTTTTTTCAACTGATAGTAAAATCCATCCCTGAAAGAATATTTTTTCCTTTCAACGGATAATTTCGGAAATTGTTATCGACTTTATCATTGTGCTCCAACTTTCAATTTTCTGAAATATAAGTCGTGTGGGATGTCATTCCACGGATTTTAGGCATGTCTCGAAAAGAAATTATGAAGAAAAAGCTTCCGAATCTGTTTTGCTTAAGCTTTAATTTTCGATGCAAAAGAAAAGGCCTTCCCTTTCCCAATGGGCCTTTGAACTGTGGTGTCTGATTTTATGTTTTTCAAGTTTAGGAGTAACTTTTCGTTAAGATTTTTTTAAAATTCTCATCTGCGCACAGGAAGCACAAAAAACCCCCCCAGAATCCAAATGCTATGTTTACTGAAATTGAAATCCATCCCTTATGGAAATGTTTTCCTTTCGATGACGCATAATGTGGGACATATGGCATATCATTGTACCCTAACTTTTAATGGTCTGCAATGTCAGTCGTGTACGGTATCTGTTGGGGAACCACGTGCGCGCAAACCAATATTAAAATTAAATTATAAAAAACCTACAAAAACGAGCAATTACAATAGAACCATCACTTTTCAATGACAACTACTTCTCAAGGAAAATCATGCAATCCCAGAAAACAATGAAAACCAGAAACCAATTTCCGTTATCCTCTTGCGTCCACCAAAGAACAAAATTCAGAACCACGTTTGCAATCAAACTTTTGGCGTGTGCACATACGACAAAATCTATACGAATTTGTGGAAGAGTTCTGTTGAGTTGTTTTGTGTAAAATTGTGTCTTTGTGTGTTTAACCTTTGGGACAAATCAGAAATACATTTAACCCATTTTTAAATAGGAAATCCACCAGGATTCCGGGCCTAGTCCCAGGCTGATTCCTTTTTTTATTTCAAAATTTAGAATTTTACTTTATTCTTCAACCTTTTGATCCACAAGCAAATTACTTCAAATGTATGTTAAGGTAAGTTATTCCCTAACAGTATCCATTTACGCATTCAGGTGATTTCAGGCATGTCTCGGAAAGCTTTTGAAGATTCGTAAATGGCACTACAGTACTGGCATAAGGTGTTTCAGGTTCCCAGGAATGCTCAAAATGAATCAACTCTCCTATAGCCTATATAGGTATTAGCTGACATTTTAGGCATTCGCATGCAGCGTCAAGTCATTACTTTCGAACATTTTAAGAATCACAAGGATTTATCTGGGATTGTTCCAGGGTGGAAGTCCTCGCGAATGCACCAGAAAACACCACGATAGCAGAGTGCGTTGCAGTGGACCCAGATCGCCATGCCGGAGTTGGAGACGTGACTTACACGCTGATGGCGCCCCCGGGAGACGGCGGCGTTGAGTCCACCGAGTTCCTGCGCATAGACCCCAAGACCGGGGCGGTTGTGGTGGTCGTGCGTCCGTTGCCGCTGGTCCCGGCGCCACTGCGACTCAGCGTCATTGCCACTGACGGCGGCGTCCCAGAACTCGCTTCCGTCGCCGAACTCGTCGTCCACGTCAAGACTATTTCAGGTGAGATCCCATCTAATACGGAAGTTGTCCCAGTTCAACGCGACTTTCAATATTTTTAGAGCGCGCGTGACAGTAAAAAAAAAAAAAAAAAAAAAAAATGAAAGAGTCCGGTACGCAACCAACCGGCAAAAAATATTCTTTCAGGGATGGATTTTACTATCAGTTGAAAAAAGCATTTGAATTCTGGGTTCTTCCTGTGCACAGATGAGCATTTATGCAAACTTTTAAAGCTACACCTAAACTTAAAAAAAAAAAGTTGAAATAGCCAATGATCTACTATGGTGTTGGAAGAATAATTTACTTCCAACATGAATATGAATAAGTTCACTGGTGGATCACAAATTGAAGAATAAAGTCAAGTTCCAATTTTTGAGAAATAAAAAACAGAATCAGCCTGGGACTAGGCCGGGAATCATTGTAGGATTTCCTTATTTAAAATTGTTTCTAAATGTATTTCGAAATTGTCCCAACAAATGTTTTAATACACAAAGACAAATTTTTGTACCAACAACAACTCAACAGAACTCTTCATTAAATTTGGAATAATTACGCAGCACACTTGATCACGCCAAAAGTTCGATCGCAAATGTGGCTCAGTTCTTTGGTGAACTTGGGAATTGCAGAAATCAAATCTAGTTTTCATTTTATTTCTGGAGTTGCATGGTTCTCCTTGAGAAGTGGTTTTTCTTCCCTTTGAGGGCTTGTCGTTTGTTATCAGATGCTAGGTTTACATATAAATTTTATAATTTAACTTCACCGTTATTCGGCGCGTGCGTGTGGTTTCCCAACATATGGTTCCGGGATTTATTTTGATTGTTAAAACCTTAGACCAAATAAAACTTTGGAAAATTAAAAACCACGGACCATTTAAAACCTTGGAATATCATTGGCAATGCCATTATTTTATTGCTTTATTTTTTATTTTTTATTTTAAAATTATACATATTAACTCGAAAAAAAAAATCAGAGGTCGTCTGTAACTGGGAAAACCCCCGAGCGTCCGGGCCAGAGTTCCAGGTTGCGGGGGTTTTTTTCTTCTTTCAACGCGACTTTGTTCCCCTCAAAGTGCGCTAAAAATTTGAGTGCGGTTTATTCATGACAGAAGTCGTAGGGATGGAAATCGATCGAATCAGCAGAGAATATGGCAACGAGATTTTTCCCTTGGGATTTTCTTATTTGCGGTATTTTAGCATTGTATGAGATTTTCATAGAACCGACGTCGTCTTCATTTCAGTTCAATTCCTACGATATTTCATTGGCTGGATAAAATGTGCGCGTGTAGGAGTCTTATTTTACCGACACATTTTTTTCAAGTTTTCTGCGGCTTACGATTGATATGAAGATTTCCTAACTTGGATTAACGCTCAAGGTCATTAAATGGATGCTCAAGTGCGGCATATAATCGCGTTAATATTTTTGATTCGGGTGTATTTCATGATTTCGGTACTTCAGAAATCGATGTTCAAATTATCCGTGACTGGGTGATTGCGCAGGCATTGAATGAAGGGGATTCATTTTTGATGATCCGGACATGCTCCATTGATTGGTTTTATTGATGGTTTTCGGTTCGAAATTTGATTCTTCACGTCTCAAAGAATAAAATTCTGCTGAGCTATAATTAAATATAGTTTGGAAATATCTATGATTTTCGTGCAACAGCACATGCAACTAAATATGCCAGGTGAGGGTTTCGTAAGAAAATTCGATCTGTTAACTAGCCGAATTCGTACCTTGGGTCTTTATTCATTACCACTGTACATGACATATTTTTGAAGTTCAGTTTGAAGTCTCTTAGTGCTCAGAAAGTCGAGAACATGTCAAGATTGTTCCCGGACTTCGCTTTCGGAATTCCCTTTACAAGAAGATTAATATCTATAGAATATCTTTAGAATAAGAAGCTATAGAAGAATATTTATTAAATACTGTACTGAACGCATGTTCTGTTTTAAGCTAGACTTATATGGAAATCATAATTTGCATTGGCTTTAAGTAAGGAGCTGAGCTTTTTTTTTTTAATGGAAATTGCAAGCAGAAAAACTCTTTTGAATGAAAAATAAGTTTACTTTTCTCAGTTTATTTTTGTATTATTGAATATGGAAAGAAGGTTTAGGACGGATTTCCTCCGAAAATCTGAAGGTATATTGAAGTTCGATGTGCACTAGACTAGAGAATAGTTTCAGAATTCAATACCGTATTTTATAAAAGGGGGAAACAATTAAATTTTAATGTTCTCTTAAACTCGCGAGTCGTGATGCATTTCCTGTTCGTGCAATGAGCGTATTCAAGCAGAATCCAACACCGAAGAAAGATATTCAACTCAAAATCTTTTAGCGATAAAGCATACAAAAAAACTACATGCTGTATCCTAACCCAGTGTGTGTACATTAAAGTACAATTTTATGGGTATTTTACTACCGTAATTGCTCAATTTGTGGGAGCAAATTCCGATAAAAAGAGAGAATGGGGGTGAATATAAATTTTATATGGACGATAAAACAATATTGCACGTCGAGTAGCTTCCGCAAAGGCATTATTCTTACAGTACAAACAAAATTCACGAATACGATTTCGAACTCAATATCGAATTGTGAGCTGATGGACGAAGGTCTCTCATGTTTTCTGACTTTATTTGATGTTCGAAAAACAAGAAAAAAGAAATGAGTGGTTAATTCGACCTGAATGCTACTCATGCTTGGCAGAATTAGAATCCGACTGAATTCAAACGCACGCAAGTGAAGTGCACGCATGGGAATTGATACCGGAAGTATCTTGCCCACAATAAAAATTAGGCTCCTCACTTCGGAATGCTTTCATCAACCTTTTTAGTAAGAATGAACCCCTGACTCTTGTGGTTCGTAATTCTTCCGTCGTGGGAACTCGGACCACCATCACTTATTCCGCAAGTTTCGGACACACGCACTCGCGGTTGCTTTCAGTGTCGGAAAATCCTTTGAAGTTCATGAGATACAGGCATTGAAAATTTTCCGAGAATATTGCTGTTGTGAAAACATCTTCTGTGCCTATTTTTTAAAAGTCTGAAACAGTATTTACTCGAATATCAGAGGCACCTTATTTCAACGAAAATCTTCTTTTAAAAGTCAGAATGCTTCGAGTAATTGATGGCGTCATACGTTTACAGATAAAGTGAGGAGTTCTTACCACTTGAAGCGTTTGAGTGAACAGCCTTAACTCATGTGCATTTTATTTCCATTCGGGTTAATAGCAGTCCTAACTTGAGCAACGTATTGCTAAAATTTAAATCATTTGTAAAATTTACTGAGATTATAAAAATGCTAGGAAAGTTTTCTGTCACGGTACAGTACACTACATGGGTTGTGCAAATATCGCAGGTAAACTCGACAATGCGTCGCACGTGAACAAATTTGCCTGCTCGTCATTTCAAGCTGTGCGAGAAACACGAAGTAAATAATGGAGAATATTTTTCACGTGAGTCTAGATCAGTGTTCCCCAACCCGTGGTCCGCGGACCAGCGCCGGTCCGCAGAAGTTTTTTGGCGGCCCGCCGGAAATTTTCTCCAGCATAATGAATCCGAAGTAGATATATGAAGGATGATCCATTATCTTTATCTGAAAAATTTCGGCAAGACAATGGCAGTTACAATTATCTCATGAAAATTAAATGTTGGCTTTTCTCCTAATACAGTAACACTTTTGACACATTTTCACCTCATAAAATAAATTATTTACATTTTTCATTCTTTTAACCTTTCTTCAAGCCCATTTTTTTATTTTTTGAGTACAGTTGACTATAACTTCTTCATTGGCTCTTAACTTTGCAAGAAAGCAGAAACTTTTAAACTATACGTTGAAGTCTTTCAGAAAAATTTTTTTGAGTCTGCAAAAATTGTATGAAACTTTTCCGGTCCACAGAAAATTTGGTAAAAACTTACGGGTCCGCAAAAATATTCATGGAAATTTGCCAGTCCAGCAGGGGCCAAAAACTTGGGGTATCCAGCTTTTAATAAATTCCGAAGAAAAAACCACATGGGCCGAAGAATTGAGAAAGTTCATCATTTCCACATGCAAAATCTGTAAAATTTTGCCAATAAAAATATCGGTCTCTCCCTATGTATAACGATCCTGCCTCCAGTGATTTTCTCTGCACAAAGATTTTTGTTGTTGTTCCATGCGATTCTCCCCCTATGTTACAAGAGTTCTCTAGAACGAAATTCTCTGTACAGCGGCCTTTTTTCTGGTCTTTTGGATTTCGTTTTACAGAGACTCCACCTAGGTGCAGCATTAAAATACGTACAGGCGGAACGAAATTACAACACGTTTTTTCTGGTCCTTGAATATCGACAAGGGACCAGGGTTCTCCACAACGATATTCAAGGGACCAGAAAAAAAAAACGTGTTGTAATTTAGTTGTAGAGAACCCTAAAAAATTGGGAGAGAACCTCATGGGCACAAAGAGAAATTCGCTATGCAGAGAAAATCGTTGTGGACAAGATTGTTGTCGAGTCCACCCGTATTTTGATTATAGGCCTTATTCTAGTTTTTGAGATAATTTTCCCGCGTGAAACAAAAGAGCCGCGCAATGTGGTACAAGAGTATAGCAGTTCTATCAAAATGTCGTGCATCCGAATAGGAAAGCACAAAAGACTGGCAAAACTTGTGCTGTAATCCTTCTGGATTTTTCCCCTCCCTTAATTGCGGGTCGCAGAAACCAGAAATCCCTCGCAGGGTAGGTCATATTTTTTCTAGGGAAACACGGCAGTTCCAAGGAGCCGTGATCGAAAACCTTGCGGTCGCGTCGCCTTGCGACAGAGGCGGTGGAATCCGCGCGGCGGCGCCGTTGCGTGTGGCGGACTTTCTTCGTGGACACGCCGGTGCCTGGCACCAACTCCTTCCCGGGAACTGGGACTTTTCGGGTCGGCTTTTCCGGTGTGCGAGGAAGCACGCGAATATACGAGGGCTGATTAAGGGCTGCAACCTTGGCCGATGGTCGGCATCAAATGTTTCCATTTTCCGTGGGCAAGTTGCAGGAATGATGAAATATTGCGAGGCGCCCCTAGGCGCCGACCGCAACGCTCGGGTCGGTCGTGCTTTCCTGATTCAAGACTGATTTCCCAACTCCCCGTTTTGTCGCAACCTCGGATTTCATCAGCCGGCGGCTTTTCGGTTGAAACACGTTGAGTAGTTATTTTTTTTTTGCAGTCGTCATTTTGAGTGATGATTTTTGGAATTCGTTTCCCCCTCGTGTGGTGGATAGTTTCTTTGCGTGTTCCTCGTTGGATCATCAGTTTGATCCACGTTTGAGATTCAAAGCTCATTATAAAATGGAACTTGGCTTTTTGCCCCTGTATATACTGTACTGTACTGTATTGTACTCAGACATTGATGCATTCTTCATTAACACTGCTACAAACGATGAAGCTGAAAATCAAATATTTTCGAAACATCTGCTTTGTTTCAACTCAGGGCCAACATGCGAATACGAGTACAATGCTTCACGCCAAGAAACCAGCTGCTGGCTCAAGCCATTATTTTCTGAAAATTTCCCAGAAAACGCCAGTTGATCATAAAAAATATTATTCCGACTTGTGCGAGGGGTGGAAACTTCCAGCAGTCAATAAAAACGAATACAAACCACAGTTGAAGGTTCGAGTCATTCCGCAGGATAAATGTCCATCGCCGCATTTCATGATATTTCTGAATATTGATCTCGTTCAAATTTCGAAGGTACAGGTAAAATCTAGTAGAACCGAAACTGCGTCGGAAAATTGTCCATGACTGGTTTCAGAAATATATGCTTTCAGTTCTATTATCCAATGAAAACGAACACATGACCCGGAGGCCGGAACTAAGGACGCGACTCTTTCTAATAAATGCGACTTGAAATTACAGTAGTTTTCTAATTTTCGTGTTGAAGTACATTATTAATTTGTTGAAGTTCGTGTTGAAACATTAAAAATCCGAAGGAGAAAGTAATAACTGTGGATTAAACTCGAACGATGATTCAGCATTTTATGACAACCATGCCTCATGAACGTTTTTAACTTTGAAGAGTCTGAAATGAGTTATTTTTTGATACAGTATTCGCCAAAAATTTTGGTACCTGTATTACCACATCAGGCTATGGTTATATAATTCAGTCGAGAACATTCTTCTCTTATGCGAGATATTGATTATTAGATCATTATTCCTGATATCTCACATTTTCATTCCAAAATGCTGTTCGCTTTTTGCCTCAAAACTTCAGCATTGTAATGAGTTGATACAATTGAAGGTTCTTACGGTATGACCATCATGCTAATGCACTAAAATTATTGCCAGAAGGAAAGGCCGTGGAAATGATCAATCTGTTCTTGAACAAAAAGGAAGATAATAATATATGGTCCATAAAATAAAAAATCAATGCTCAAGATGTGCCTCTGCTTGGATAAAAACGTACAAGAAGACAGGGAGATAAATTAACTTGAGAGAGATCATACGTGGTTTGCCAATGGAAAGAAAACAACTCCACTGGCATTTTCAAAATATTTACTATTTTTAAATAATAAATCAAGGTAGTATTTAAAATATCTGTGAAAAATAAGGTTATGCAGTTGTCTGTCCTTCTTATGCCTGTTTCATATTTTTCATTGTTCAGGTATCTCAAATAAAGCAACAGTCTTGAGGGGGTTTCTTCTGATGAATTTCCAGCGATTCGACCATGAGTTTTTGTTTCGTTTTAATTTACCTCTTTTCCGCCAAACCCACTCGGGATCATCGAAAAAAATCCATTTTTATTTGACTCAGGGGTACAGTAGATAAATGAACGAAAGCGTTCAGTAATGAATATACTGTACTGTACTTTATATTTTTTGAAACCAGTTCCCGAGCGGGTAGAGGTTCGAGCCACGACCAACTCCACGGCGACCGTCTGCTGGGACACTCCGCTCATCGGACTGGTGACGGGTTTCTTGCTGCAGTACGAAGAAATGTCATCCGATCTCGAGCCAGCGAGAGAGGTGGCCGTGTCCGGCGCCCAAGCCGCCCCGGGGTCGCCGGTTTGCGGCACCCTTAGCCGACTGCGGACCAGGGCGGACTTCCGGGTCCGAGTCGCCGGCCGGAACGACCGCGATGTCGGCATTTTCAGCGAACCGGTCGAATTTCACACTCGACAAGACGGTGAGTTCCAGTTTTTTTCATTCTACATCATTTTATTTTTTTATTATGATTCCGCGCGTGAACACGTGTGTCAAGGACTCGTATATGAAAAAAAACAACCGAGAATGAAGGAATTCCGCGAGAAAAGAAGTCGTCGATTATATAAGACGCACCTGCATTTTTTTTTCTGCCTGGAAATTGAAAATGAATTTGACATGCGGAAGTAATACGCCCTCTCATTAAATTCCACTTTTTTTGTCAGAGCAGAGTGTTGATTACGGTCATGCTTCAGTCACCAGCTTGCTGGTCTCAAACAATTAAAAAAAATATATAATCCGAAACCCAACTCTTGTGCCATTGAACTGAAAATGGTAGTGGGGGATTTTTTCAGTAAAATTTCCGGCCGTTTTCGTTCACGAAATCGTGTTAGTCGGTAACAATCACAGACCTTAACATATAAGAAGCTACCGAATATGAAGAGCTTTCGTTTTTTAAATCAATTTTCAAATGGAAAACGTGACATTTTGGAGTAACAACGGTATAAGCGTTCTCCGCTTTCATAAAAGCGAAAATACCGGAATATTTTTTTTATTGAACAGAATTATCAAAAATGGCCTCGAATATCGAAATTGCTTCTCTCAAGAAGCATGTTCCCCGAAGCAGAAAATCAAAATCAGTATAGTCTGCCAATTATTATCTCTTGAACATTGAAATGCGCACAGTTGTTAGTGTGCGAGGGGATGTAGGAAAATTTGTGACATGGACTGCTTGAGACAAAAACATTTCAAGACAGGTACAATCAGAGACAGAAATATTTGGAATTAATTTCATTTCCGATAATTCTGATGGGATATTCATTGAAATCTTGAGAATTATCTAGGCCACACTTTTCCCTCTGAAATAAAGCAATGTGAATGAATGGTACAATTAAGAAAACGTTAAAAATCCCTAGTTAAGTGAATGAAAAAGTTCCCACGCGAAAATTTTACGGAATATTGCATCGCAATGAATTATGAAGGATTTTCAGATTTCCTGCTAGTGCATGCCTGTATCGTATCAAAATCTAGTTTTTTTTATTTATAGGGGATAACTCGTAAGATGTTTTTCTCATTTGTTTTCTTCTCAATTTAATCGATGTAATCAGCAAGAATTCATCATCAGTTGATCTGCAAATGAATTTGAAATGATTTAATGTACAGTATTTATCTTTGTATTTTTCTTTTCTGCTCGAACCAATTTGGCAAAATTTTCAAGCTTTTTGTAGAGGATAAGGTGAACTGCCTCGCAGGTCAACTTGACGGGTTTTTCTGTGAACATAAATCCCGACAGAATGCTCGACCATTAAAAGAAATAGACGCTGCATGGAAATTTTCCGACGATTTTCCAACAGACAATTAGAAAATATATGGGTTCTCTTGCGCTGTCCTAAAATTGTGAAAGACTTCCGCAGTGCCCGTGGATAAGTTATCTTGATTGATCAGTTCCTCGGCGCAATATGGGAAAGGAGGGTTTCCTTTGGGTTCCCCGCGAAATTAGACGGGGCCGGGTCAGTGTGTGAGCTTTTGAATACACAATCTCCAATACGTCAGGGTGGATTACATCTCGAGGGAAAGGCCGTCTTTTCGGGAACGACGCCGTGAAACTATTTGTTGTTTGTTGTGAGACAGATGTGTGTCAGAGTCGCCAAACCCAGTGTTTATCTCGTCGTCTTACTTCACTTTCAGATTGCGAGAATTCTGAGTGCGTTCATGGGAAATGTGTACCAGCGACTGGCGACTCGGGTGGCTACACTTGTGATTGCGAAGAAGGATTTTTTGGCACGTTTTGTGAAGAGGAGGACGAGTGCTTCAGTAATCCCTGCGAGAACTTCGGTAAGGAGACCAATTCTTGAACATAGGTTTATAGTTGTTAGAGACAAAGAAGTCTCAACAAAGAAAATATGAGAATGGTAAATGAAACACAGCAATCAGCCTGGGACTGGCTGGGAGTCTCTTTATAGAGGCCCCAAAAGACTTGAGTACAGTATTTAATAATTTCCCAAAGAATAATACAACTCAGAGAATTTTGGACTTTACTCACACATACTTTCACACAACACAATGGTAAAATCAGATGTCTTAAGAGCTCTCCACACTTCAAGAATTGGTAGTGGAGTGAATTCTGTGTTCCTGGTTTTTGAGACAGAAGAAAGAGAAGGAAAGTAGATATCCTTGTGGGTAAAATATTGGCCTCTGATTGGCTGATTATGTTGGAATCAAAGACAATGCTGTGCATTGTTTACAATTCCTTTGGGACTCGTTTTTTGGTGCTGGGCTTCTACCAAAGGTCCAGTTTTCGGGATGCAGCAAAGCAGGGGAATTATTATTATAAGTATTATTTACAGGTGCCGGACTCAGTCCCCAAAAATAGTTTCTTCCTATTTTAGGATTTTTTTGGCTTGTTTAAGATACATACATTGAATTCCAATTGCGACAAACTTTTTAGGACTTCAAAAAAGTTGATAAACTGAATACTTTCTTATAATGAGATTTTTATCAGTAATGATGTAACAATTTTCAAATCAGACCTACCTATGATCAATTAGATCTTGCTTTTCTGGGTTTCTCCGATTTTAAAATTATTTTTTGAAAAAAATGAGTGATCTGAAAAAAAGCTTCAGTCATGCATTCCATCAGTCCCACTGATCTCTTCATTTTGGGAGGATGATGTGTGGAACCAATTGGAAAGGTGTTTGTTGATAATTTCGGCTTTCATCCATGCTACAAGAACCAATCAGTCACATTTGGGATTAGAAATTTCAGACTGTGCCTGTCTTATAGACAGGAAATTTCCGCCTGGAGAATCTATTAAACACTCTTCAAAAAAGTTTTCGTAATGGAGTTGGGAATTTTGTTATGACGATATTGTTTTAACACGTAATTTAGCGGCTTTCTACCGAGACTTGAGAAGCAGTTTTTTAAACTTTAAACTGAAAACATTGTTGTAAGGGTATTTGTTGTAAGGATATTTTGCTGTAATTTGCACGACCGTGAGAAAGTTTTGTGTCATGAATATTCTCGATGATGACTCACTACATGAGAGAAGGGCTGTCATGAGGCGTATTTAAAACATATTTTCGAAAATGTTGCTTGTGTCAGAAGGGATCAGAGAATTTGTAAGTTTTATGCATCATTTCAGAGTTCTCAGCACAGATTATAAAACTGAATCTTGCGTGGCTATGCGTATCAGACTTGCATCTGTAACTAGTGTTTGAAACAACGTTTGTATGAATTCCTGAAAAGCTCTGTTTGCTTTCTATTGGTTTTCGTGCCAATTTGTGTTTGCCATTTTTCTCAAGAAGCGAGTGGAGCTTTTGTTAAATAATTTTCCATGATCCTTGTCTTTCTTTGAACTATACCAGTGTTACCATGGTCCATGGACCAGCACAGGTCTGCAGAATTTTTTTGCTGGTCCAGGGGAACTTTTCTGCAGCATAAGAAATTTATGAAAAGCAGCAATGAAGTCTGCTATCTTAAACTGCAATTTTAGGAAGACCATGGCAGTTGAAATTATATGATGAAAAATAAAAGTTGACTTTTCTTCTAATAACGCATTAGACATTTGAACCTGCTGAAATACATAATTTTTATTTTTTGTTCTGAGAAACCTTTCTTCAAGCCACCTTTCAATTTTTTGAAGACATTCCACTCAGCTGCTTCAATGGCTCTAAACTTGTTTTTTGAAAAAGCAGAAACTGTTTAAATACCTGACAGAAAGGTTTTCAAACAAAACTTTTTTGAGTGTGCAAAAATTGTATAAAATTTTGGTGGTCCTCAGAAAATTTTGTGTGTGGAAATTTGCCAGTCCACGGGTGCACAAAGGATGGGAACACTGATCTATACAACTGCATACACTGTTAAAATAGCAATTAAATCCAGCACTTCCTCTTGACAACTCCATTTGATGATGTGTTTCAGGGGTTTGTAGAGTTCAGGATAAGCGGCGGACATGCACTTGCTTGGCGGGATTCTATGGACCCAACTGCTCACTGTTCAACCCCTGTTCTAGTCAACCTGGGCCGTGTAAAAATGGTGCAAACTGCGTCAGGTATGAATTCAATTCCAATGCTTTTTTCACTTCTCAGAGGATTCATTATTTTTTTTATGGATATTTCATCTCCGTTGCCTAATTTTGCAGTTGCTTGAATTATCCATTCTCGTTGAACCACTCTTCTGTTCATTCGCTTATCAGAAACTTATTTTTTGTGCTGTGCTTTCATTTCGACATTGTGATGAGTTATTTATTTTTTCATTTGTTTTCGGTTGTTATCAATTGTTTTTCATAGTGAGCATAGTCACGAGTATGAATGCAAATGCCTAGTTGGATTTTTCGGGAAAATCTGTGAAAAGGTGGACCCTTGTGCATCTGGACCGTGTTTCAACGACGGCCGTTGCATGAACGTGTCAGAAACCGCTTACATGTGTTCCTGTCCCCCTGGATTCACTGGTGAGAATATTATTTTTGGTTATTCTTTGTGTTCAGATGTAAATACTAGGCACGATTACGAGTATCTGGTTTAAATTGTACTCATGAATCGCCTGGGCGAACGGCGACAAAAAAACAATTTTCCCCCGAAAGAACGAGTTCTGTATTTCGGCGTGCTGCTTGTATTTTAGAGTTGAAAGACGTGAATAATATTGGTCATTTTTTATTTACACTTGAGTTTCTTGGGATCTGTGTTTCACAACGGAAAGCGAACCGATTTTCTGGAAAATTATTTTCTCCAGCTTGGGATGCTTCATTGCGAATTTCTCGCTTAAAGCGTGAATTCATATATTCGTATGTGGGCAATATTTCAATTCTTTCAATTAAGAGCAGTTCAAAGTACCTGCAAATATCAAGAAATGCAAACAAATCAGGCGCAGTCAAGGCAGCAATGAAGGGTGACTTTAAAGTTTTGTTCTCTTATTTATTCCAAATTGGCCTGGCCTGGGTAGATATTTTATAACTGTTGCAATATTTATTCATGAGCTTGGGCCTTTGAAAAGGTAATCGCAAAATCGGTTCCATGTCTCTCAAAAAACGATCAACACATTCATTTTATTTAGCAGCACCTCGATTGCTACCGAAAGAGGAAGAAAATGTAGTTTCTCAACATGATGAAATTTGGTGACAGCGATTCCCCTAAAAAAAAATTCGCGGCATATGGCATTTTAAAAATGCTTTCGAAGTATTTCTTTTGCAGAATCCCTAAGTTGTTCGATTTTACTAATTATGCAAGCGACCTTTTTCATTCGCGAGGCTTATTTTTGAAAGCAATACTTCTTGTCTGGACTATCAGGCAACATCTTCTCGTTTATTCTTTATCTTGAGTAACGGACACATGAGTCATAGTGTATTTTTGTGGGCCTTACGTAATCAGCATGTCACTTCTCTTTTCGAAAGGAAATATCAATGGATTTATTTTTCGGATTCAATTTCATTATTAAAGTCAAACTTCAAGGGTCCAGCTGCTCCAGCAAACACATTTGAGTGAAAGAGATTTCAAAATTGGGAAATGAGCATTTTTCTTGAGAGCAGAAATAATTATAGGAAGTTGTAATCGGTGATATTCTTGGCATTAAAGTGATTTTCAAATGAGTTGTCAGGAAGCTGAACTTGAAGGCAACGGTCCATTTGCCAATTAGTATTTCACTTCCTTTCAAAACACATAAATTTACAATTTCAACGCTTATCTCTTTCCTGTGTCAATAAAATTAAAGCCAAAAGGTATCCAGAAAATTGGTATTAAGGAGGTTTGACGAAGAAAGCCTTTGAGTTGAAGAAGTTTTCAGTACTGTACTGTATATTGTTTCTAAGGAAATTCTGACAGGAACTTGAAAAAAAAAATCAGACATGGGATGCTAATTTGGTTGAGTATTTTATTCAGGTGGGTTCAAGTTATTGAGGTTCAAGGGCATTTTTCATTGAGGGTATATAGGGGATTCGCGGAGCGCGAACCTCTGCTGAACCTCTGCTTTCTTGTTTTTTGTTTTGTAGGAATGAAAAAAGGAATGAAATGAATAATGAAAAGCTTAATTACTTTTTAAGTACAAAGTTTAATTTTGTGCCTTGCTGATTCGATGTCCAGGTCCTCTTTGCCAATGGGAAACGGACGAATGTGCGAGTAGCCCGTGTCAAAACGGCGGCTCCTGCATTGACCACAGGAACGCATTCGAATGCCGCTGTTCCCCGGGTTTCACTGGGATCCGTTGCGAAATTGACATCGGTTAGTGTCTTTCCCGTGAACCCGTAAATAAACCCGCCTTTTATGGTTGCTTTAAAAATTAACCCTGCGTAAAAAAAAAAAATGTGAAATGCAGACGAATGCGGATCGAGTCCATGTCAGAACGGCGCCACTTGCGTCCAGGGCGTCAACAAATACGAGTGTCGGTGTCCGCACGGATACGGAGGCCACTTTTGCGAAATGCGAGGTGAGTTCGAAGGGAAATTGTATTCAAAATTTCTTCGGGGGCGTGGTGGGTGGCTTGATTCTGCTATTAATTCCTTTCGGACTAACTTACCTGAGTAATACGCATGGACATTTTCTTGTGATTCACGCGAGCTTCATTATAAAAAGGAAGAGCGATTCATTGTCGAAAGTCCTTTGTCTTTCCCGAACTCTCACAAAAAGGAAACAGTGCTTATATTTTCTGTCTCTCTTTTTTCATTTACTAATTTTTTTGAATACGATTCTTTGCTGCCGAACGGAGCTATGCAACAACAACAAAAAACGGCTTTCGAAATGTCTTTTGGAATAATGGGAAGAAGTAGTGCTTCTGCATGATCCTCGCTCTATCTGGACTTTTTCTCGAGTTTTCCCCACTTTCCAAGTTCATATAATGTTAAGAAAATGAGTTCACATAAATGAAAACAAACCGATTGAAAAGTGAAGCTCAAACTCATTGAACACTGCAAAGCAATTGGTGTGGTTTTCCGATTAGAAAGTGCTTGCTCATTTGTACGAAGCGTATTTTCTGGAAAATACCTTAGAGCAAGACAGATGAATCAACTATAATTGCTCTATATTTAGCAAACTATTCATGAATTTGAAAAATACTGTACATAGAAATTTTTGCAAGTGAAGTCGAACAAACATAAATTGATTGTGTTTATGCAGGCGAGGATGCTTTGAATTGCATCGGCCATTTCCAAGACGATCTCACAGTAAACTTTAATGTACAGTACTTTTTAAACTGACCCTTAAAAGTTATTACTGTACTGTCGAAGCTCAACGAAGGGAAAGTTCCAGATTCAGAAAATTTCTAGAATATCGACTTTTCTGTTTCACTGTTTATTAAAAATGAAGAGGGTATTTTCTACAGCAAAGACACAAATAAGCGAATAGACCCACACATTCGCGGTATCTTTGTGGACCGCAAAAAATTATGATACATTCGAATGACCACATCTTTTGAAGTATCGAAACTACCGCCTTGAAAAGCTATGAGGCTGGCCTTAACTATACTTTTTATTAACTGCTATGGTCAGTTCCGAAAAGCTCCATGAAGTAAAATTTGTCACACGTGTTCTGCCATTTAAAAAAAATCCTATTACTTTCGATTATATCACTGTAAGGCGTTAGGAAATCTACTTAAAATTATTTTGTGTGACATATCCCTAACGTGGCATTTCTTCCCCTTCAACTACAGAATTTTGTGTATCCGCAAAATTCTGCGCCGTTTTTGCATGAAGAAATCAACTGCTAGATTTTTTAAAATAAAAAAGTTACGGTGTAGACAGGTTTTTGGGGAACCACAGGCAAGGACGGAATAATGGTAAAATTAGATTATAAAAAATAGATTTAAACCTATCATCTGATAACAAACAACAATAAGCCCTCAAAGGGAAGAAAAACCACTTCTCAAGCAGAACCATGTAATTCCAAAGAACAATAAAAACCAGACCTGATTTCCTCACAAATTTCATCCAGCAAAGAACAAAGCAGCATTTGCGATCTAATTTTTGGAGTGTACACATACCGAGAAATCTTACAAAAATTGTGGAAGAGTTCTGTTGAGTTGTTGTGTTTGTGCAAAATTTTTTCTTTATGCATTTAAACTGTGGTACAAATTCGAAATACATTAAACCCAATTTAAAATAGGAAATCCATCAGGATTCCCGGCCTAGTCCCCGGCTGATTTCTGTTTTTCATTTCAAAATTTCAAACTTTACTTTAATTTCCAACTTCTTGATCCACGAGCAAATTTCACAAATTTGTGTTAAGGTAAGTTATTCCCTAACACACGTGTTCCATCATTGAAAATTACGGTACTGTAGTTGGAATAATATTCTGAACTTTTGGAGAAAAAAAAAAACGCAAGAATCAAAATTCTATATGTGAGAAGCGTGTTGCGTGTTTCTTCAAAACGATATTTTCAAATGACCATATTTTTTCAACATACGGTATATCTCATACCACTGCTGCCGAAACAGTAAAACGAACCATTATGGGAGAAAAGTAAATAAATATTGGCCTAATTTTATCTTTTTGAAAATTTATTTTGCTGATTCAGTTCATCGCTTTTGTGCAAACACAGACGGAAAAGTGCTATTGAGCGAGATAAGGACTTGAAATTTGATCAGTAATGCTCCGTGTTTAACTCAGCAAGTCAAGTTCTGAAGAATATGTGTTGGATGGGGTGCAGGATAAAATCCCGTGGGAGAAAAAATCCCGCGGCCCGAAAATCCCGTGCGGCCAAAGATCCCGTAGGCCCAAAAATCTCGAAAGGTCCGAAAATCCCGTAGGTACGAAAATCCCGAAAAAGGAATTTTCATATCAGTAAAACCTAGTTTGAAAACTGCAGAAGGTAATGGTATTTAAACAATTCATAATTATCAAAGAAGTCTAAATGCAGTTATATATAGTGATATTTCATTAAATATTCAATATACAGTACATGAAGTGAAGGTGAGATTCTATTGAGAAAGATAATCTCTAAGCCTCCCAAACCCTTGGAAGGAATTAAAACCCTTGCACTTTCACAATTTCATTATCCACTAGATTTTTATTCCTTCCAGACAGTTGGAAGGGTAACCCATAGAGACAATATCACAATTTTGTAGTACTCATCGGGATTTTTGTACGTACGGGATTTTCATACCTACGGGATTTTTGGACCATGCGAGATTTTCCGGCCTACGGGATTTTTGGCCTCACGGGATTTTCGGGCCGCGGGATTTTTTCTCCTACGGGATTTCATCATGGAGCCGTTGAATGACCTGATTTCAAACATGGTAATCTTTTCAGCAGTGCTGTACTGTATACAGTGGGACCCCGAGATGCGGACATAATTGATGCTTGGACCTTGTCCCTATGTTGGAGTATGCATATGTATGTTGGATCATATTTTCCCATATACTTCAATGGGAATATCTGTAATTGGTTCTCCTTCTTTTAAATAAAAAAATTAGGAATAAAGCCCCAAAAAAATGAATGAAATTTTTCTCAACTTATTCAAAGTACAGAAAATAACTGCGCAGAATAAAACCACCTAGAATCTGATCTTTTGGCATCAGAAGAAGCTCAAAAAGCAAAGAACAAGAACAAATCTTGCTCTGTAACACATGATGGAAAACAAACATGATTGGAAAAAAAAAACGGAAAAAGCGGCACAAAATTAGCCTGTATGATCATGATTCAAGGTGATTTTATATTAAATTTTTATATATTTTTGAATGTAAATACTGTAGCTAAATTTATTAAAGCGGTAAAAATTATCAACTTTTTCAATTTTTCTAAAAAAGTTAGAAAATTTTCCAAATTTCGAGAGTCGTTGTCCAATTTTCGGGTTCAGATTCTTTCAGTTTTACGAGTCCCCAAATTAAAATCGTCCGTATGTGGGGGTGTCGCTGTATGCGAACTGAAACTGACGTTTCTTCTATAGCGGAATTTTCCTTTTCGCCTCGGACGGCTTGAGATGAGGCATTATTTCATTATCCCCGAGCATCCGTATAAAAGCCACGAAAGCCAGATGAGTTTTCGGGATGAGTTGTTTGTGGACGCATGGAAAAGGCAAAGAGCCCTCAGGGAAATTCTCTCGGGAAAGTTAGGGAACTCTGCTTGACTTCTTGGTTGACCGGAATATTGTAGCCACGGTGGCGATAGCGGAGCCGACGCTGCAGTTCTTCCTCTACATTTTCCCTTGACTAGACCGGTGCGACTCGGACGTGTCGGACACAACGTGGGGCTCCCTGAGCTGGCCGAGTACGCCACAGGGCGAGGCTCTGTTCCTGCCGTGTCCCTTCGGGCCAGCCGACGACGACGGCGGGGACGTCGGCGGCGGCGGCGGCAGTGACAACGACGTCGTGCGACGCTGGGGACGCCGGGTCGCGGCGCCAGCTGTCCTGGCACAGGCCCGCCGCACTTGTTTCCTGACGCCGCTGGGTTCCCACTGGGGACCCGTGGTTGGCAGCGATTGTCGAACCAAGGTCAGTGTTGTCAACCTTTGTGGGACAGGGCCTTCGAGTCGGGGAAAAAAAGGCGATGCATCGTCGGGAACCCGATTAAAATTTTCCGTTTCACTTGGCTAGGAACCCAGTTGAGAACTTTCCGAAGAATTAGGAAACTCCACGACGGATTGTACTTTAGTGCAGTGTTCCTCAACCTGTGGTTGAGACGCAGACGTTTTTTGCCGGTCCGCGAGAAATTTATTTCAGCATAATAATTTTATCAAAAAGTAGCATTGAAGTCGCTTATATTCATCTGAAATTTCGGAAAAACAATGGCAATTGAAATTATCTGATGAAAAATAGAAAATGACTCTTCTCCTAATAATGCTTCAGACACATTTTCACCTGCTGAAAAAAATGATTTTAATTTCTCATTCTGAGAAACCTTTCTTCTAATTTTTCAAAGACATTTCACTATGTATAGCTGCTTCGTTAATTCTTGACTTAATTTTTTGCAAAAAAGCAGGTTAACCAGGTTAAAATGCCGGCCATGAAGCCTATCAAACCAAATTTTTTGAGTCTGCAAAAATTATATGAAACTTTGCCAGTCTCCGGAAAACTTTTTGGAAGTTTACGAGTCTGCAAAAAAATGTCATATAGAAATTTGCTGGTCTGTGGACCCCAAGAAGGTTAGGGAAAATTGCTGCTGTAATTGTAAAGTACAGTAGGTCCCTGCATTATTCAGGGGTACTAGTGGCGACCACATGATCAATGTGGCAATGCATATTTCATCAATGGACTCCCCGATTATTTTCCAAACTTTATCTTGTGAAATTAATGGAATAGCAATTTTACTTAGGAAATTTCAGTAATGCAGAATTTTCGTTTCCCGAGCCATTCGCTATGCGAGGGCCCAGATGTGATGACGATGATTGGGATCCAGCGCGTTTTAGTCGCAATACAGTGGCTCAGAAAAAAGGCCCTTGTATTTGCGACTTCATGGAATACTTAGCTTTCGTATTATTTTTATAATGACTTCGAAGATGTTTCCTTTGTTTGCGTGTGTGTGTGTCATTCAGGCTATATGAATTAACAGCGAGGCGCGAAATTGTCCGAAACGCTGATTCACCCGTCGATTACAAAAAAAATGCAGAGGGAGTAACCAGACAATATGTGGCCCTGCGGGCATAATTCTTGGGAATTTGATAACGATTTGGAATTTCGGTCAGCAAAATCGAAATATCTGAAACTGCTTCAAGAAACGTTCGGTATTTCCGGTGCATGTAGAAGCTTTTTTTTTTGCTATATTATAGTAAAATCTGGTTACAACAAACTCCCAGGGACCTGAAAAATTTGTTGCAAAAAATGGTTTTCATCCTGATTCATGGTTTTTAACACATTTTGGACTGCAATTTTGTGGATGATGGGTAATGAATAGTGTTAAGGCTTCTACTGCGGATAATTACAAGACCTGTCATAATTTCTAAGGCTCACTGAAGAAATGCAGTGGATTATTTTTGAATATTTAGAACTTCTCCTTGATTCAACCAGTCATTTTAAACCACAGTAATGTGCTGTTTGTCTTGAAAAATTAAAGTGAAATGCAAGTGCATATGTGGGAGAAATACAGTGAGACCCCTAGATGCAGATGTAATTGGTGCATTTAAGAGTGTCCCAAATTCAAATGTCCCTAAGTTGAGTCTTTTTTCCCTTAGACTTGCATTCTAAAATTTTTAATTTATTTTTATGAACGAAATATTCATCAGAATTCCATGAAAAAATAAAAAGTGTTCTGCCAATAGGAGCTGATTTAATCAATATCTTGCAACTCAATAAGAACATTTGGAGCATGGGTTACTGTACCTCTGTACAGTACATTTACATTTTGGCATTCTCTATGAAAATGAAATTCTAGTAAAAAAAAAAAGATAAGGAAATCCCTCTATGCTGGAGGAAATTTTGAAAAATGAGCTAAATAGATAGTAAAATGATCAGAGAAATGCCAAAGAACTTTTCTTCAAAAAATCGGAGGGTTGAAATATTTGTTTCTTGTAATTTGTCCTGAAACGAATTTGAGATTTTAGCGTACAATGTCAAGTCAGTGTCCACATGTTGGGTCATTATTCTTCTGCATTTTGTATAGCCAAATAAGTGTCCGTATGTTGAATTGTCCGCATGTAAAGGTGCCCGTGGGAGTCTCACTGTACTTCCTTCTAAATCAACTTACTCATTTGTACCTGTTCGTTCTTTAAAATAAAGAAAAATTCTTTCTGACAAGTTGTTTATATAAAATAAATGCGTATATTCTCAAATTGAGCTCGCCAAATTTTAAGAAATATTTCATGTTGAGCAATTTTTTGAATGCCACATTTTTTTCTACAGTAAGTCTTGCTTCTTCCATGAAGTTAAAATGATGCACTAGTTCATTTTTTTCTGCAATTTATCAAATAATTCCTATGGCCAGTGCACAGAATCATTGCCATAATTTGTGGCAGCCTAAAATGGGTTTGATGTCAGAATAATTTTTTTCTAACACGGCGCCTATTTAGAAATGGCCTGGACCAAGAAAAATGCGTTATGACGAGATTCGTTGTAACGGAATTTTACTGTAAGTGAAGATAGAAAATCAGCGTGATGACACGTAGAACCAATTATATGTGGGTGAATCATTGTGTTGTATATGTGAGTCACATATACACTCCACATCATGACGTGTCAATCAAGTAAATAAAAATAAGAAACCGCGCCTTTTTTTCCACTCGTGGCAACGCAGGCTTCGGTGGAAGTGGAACAAGAGGCGCAGGACCTGGTGGAAAAAACACAGCCGAGCCCCGGCAAGGTCCTGACTGCTCGGTTTCTGGAGGAGACTGCTGAGAAGATTCGAGGCGTGCTGAGCTTCGCGCTGGAAGATGACAAGGCAAGTCACTGTACTCCATTCCCCATTTCAGATGCATGACAACTCGGAAGTTACAGTTCACGGGTCATCGGAAAAACGTTGACAGGGTGCGAGAGGAAGCGTGATACTAATCTAAATCAGAGGGTTTCTTTTTTTTCCAGGTTTGTGCCAGGGGTATCCTCAGAAGTTTTTGAGCTGCACCGAAATCTTGTCCTGAAAAACTGCTTTCAATGCATGAATTAATGAGAGAGATGGGTTCTCCAACTGCTGTAACGTCGCCTCACAATAAAAAATACCCCAGGGACCTGATAAAAAATCCGTTATAGTGAAAAATTTGTGAATCAAGATTCATTGTTTTCAGCAGATTTTAGACTGAAATTTTGTAGGGAAGGTGCAATAAATACTTCAAAGTGCTTTCAAAACAGATAATTCAAGACCTATCATAATTTATACACATTTCTGACGAAATGAAGAGAAACTTTTGAAATATATAGTCCTTTCCTCTCATTAAACCCACCTTTCTACTCGGTGTCGCGTGTTTTGAAAAATAAAATGAAAGAAAATTACGTGTGGTAGAAATACGGTACTTCCTTCTGAATCAAATAAATTCACTCAAACCTGTCTGTTCTTTCAAGTAGAAGAAATTTTTTTCTAAAAAAAACTGTTTATTTGAAACAAAGACGTACGTTTTAAAATGGAGCTAAAGAATTTCGAAGGCAAATGTCATGTTGTGCATTTTTTTGAAAACAAAATTTCCTCTGCAGCAAGTTTTTTTCTTCGAGGAAGTAGGGATGCTGCACCTTTTATTTTTTTTTCTGCCATTTATCATATACTCCCTATGGTATGTGCCCAGGGTCATGGACAGGAATTTGTTAAAATTATATTAATACAGCCTAGAATGAATTTGTTAAAATGAGATTTTTTTACATTACGCCTATGGAGAAACTGCCTGGACAAAAAAAGATTCTTACGCAAAAAAAAATCTGCCATGACACGATTCATTGTAAAGGTGGTACTTTTTAATTGAACCCTAATCCATCATCAGACTAGTGTCAAATTTCAAAGCAGTCAAATTGCAGGATACTTCATAAAATTGAGAAATATCTGCACAAAAATGTGGAAAAAGTGGCCAAAGCAGGCCAAATGCTGTGGCAGAGGTTGAACTGCAAGTCAACCTCACTGCAAATTTGACTTGTCAAATTGTGGGATGATCGAATTGCAGAAGGCTGAATTGCGAGGTGCCACCTGTAACAGAGTTTGACTGTACTCCCATAGTGAAAACTCACTGATCAACAAAACACCAAGTAGTAAAGTAATTTTGAATAAATTTTTAGTTTATAATCTTTTATAATTGAATGATCAATTTCTTCTTATTTTCTACAAGGGTCTGACCATGAATCTGTCAGCGAAGTTGGCTTTGCAATTTTCAAGTGCAATGATTTCTGATGATAATATTGAATGAGCCCTTCAAGAAGTGGCGCCAGTGTTGTATGGAATTCATTGAAAGGAATGAAGCAACTTCATCTTTGCCATGTTGTGACTCCAATATCTTCATTGAAATTGCTATTGGCACCATATATCTGCCAATACTTCAAAATTCAAAACTGGAAAGGCTATTTGAATTGGTTCTTTTCAGGATGATTAAATTAATTAGTATTCAGAACAGTAAGATTTCTTGGGTGAAATTTATAAAAAATTAAACACATTGGGGAGTGTACTTTGGTTACTAGCAATCTCCTTACTTATAGGATTGCAAAGATGGTCTAGAAATTACAGCAATATACAAATAAATTGGAAATTTTCATTTGGTGAATCGTCTCTGCGTGAGTTGTTTAGTACCAGCTGTCTGCAAACAAAATTGACACATGAACTGTACTTGGAAACATTTTCCCCCAACTGCGAGTTTTTTTAATGCTTCCGAGAAATTTCCAAGATGCCCTTGCGTTACATTTAAAAATGTAGTCTTTTCCAGGAAAAGTTTATAGTTGAAATCTATATCTGAAATAATGTGTTGCCGCAATAACCTGGAAAAGTGGATTACGTTTTATGACTAGAACAATTTTACCTTTCCCATGATGAGGTAAGAGGATTTTATACTCGGTTAAAAGTCGTTGAAAGTTTTTATTATGTCTTTCAACCTAGAATCATCAGTTTGACACCTTGATAAAGTCGTCGACAAAGATGAAGTGAGTGATGAAGGAGAAAGAAGGCTGTTGGCATTTAGAGGTCGATTGCCTTGGTGTGAGATGTTATCAGCATCTCATCAAGTGGTTCATTTTTCGAAGCTTTAATTGGCCATCTTCGCAACAACAATACACACCTTTAGAACGAACATTTTCGAGATAAAAAAAAAACTAGACTGAAGATATTCATGCCATACGCAGACACAAAAATAATACTGAGGGCTCTAAAAAGATACCTGATGTGCAAATATAAAGATGAATAATTCTTCCTTTTTTTCCTGCATGCTGTGTTCCTTTCGTACACGGGAAGAAGGAGTTTATTTTCCGCATGACGTGAATCGTTCCGCTATGACTAATCATTTCCTGTTTATTTATATCGTTTGAGTACAGGTGGCGCAGAATATGTTCGCCGCCATCAGCAACCTAGTGGCGTCCGGCACCTCTGGGAATTGGACGCAAGCTGTGCTTTCAGTCGTGGACGCCTACGCGTCCAATGTGTCGCTTGGCGACGGTGGCATGGTTGCCGTCAGAACGGAAAACGTCATCGTCGAGGCTCGTCGAATGCCGTCCCTCGTAATGCCAGATTTCAACCAGTCCGTGCAGTTCGTCGTGGAAAGACCGGCTGCCGAGGGCTCAGCCAGGCAAAGAGAGGCGAGTTTCATAGTAAAACATGAATTTGCTGTCGAGACTGAGAAAACTTTTCAAAAAAGTGTTTGAGAGAATTTATGTAGTAAAATTCCGTTACAACGAATCTCGTATTGACAAATTTGCTTCTTTAATGGGCCCAGGCAGTTTCCGCATAGCGCCATGTTGTAAAAAATCTTGTTGTGACTGACATCATTTCGGATTGAATAATCTCAGTAGAACAAATTTGTGGTCTTTATTCTGTGCATAGGGATAATTCCATAAATGGAAGAAAGCAGAAAAATGAAGTATTGCAGCATTTCAACTTCATCAAAGAAGCAAAACTTACCGTAGAGGAAATTTAGCATTAAAAGAATGCTCAATATGACGTAAATCTTGCATAATTTTTAGCTCAATTTCAGAATGTATGCCGTTCTTCCGGAAGAAGAAAGTACAGTATGTTAGAAAGGATTTTCCTCTATATGAAAAAATCCAAACAGATACATTTCCGTATGAATTGTTTCTTCAATTGAAGAAAAATTGACACTGTATTTTTTTAATGTCTCGTAAATACAGGAAGAGCTTACGTACAGTTGAACCTCTCTAAGTCGAACTTCAAGGGACCAACAAGAAAATTCGACTTAGGGAGGTTTCGACTGAAAGAGGTTTTCAATTAAGCTACAATACAAAGCCCTTTTGTCCTGGGAAACATAGAAAAATTGCTTAAAATTGTGAATTGTAATATTCTGAGGCTGAAATTACTTCTTAAATGATTTGAAAGCATCCTGAACTTGGAGACAGGGTTCCTTTGCCCAATTAAGTCTCTCATCTCCTTTAAAAACAAATCAATTTATGTTTTAAATGCTTTTTTTCTTGCTTGTGTCAAGAAATAAAAGCCAACAGGCCACAGAAAATTCAACTTATGGAGGTTCTAGGGGAAAAGCCTTCGACTTAGGGAGGTTTTAAATGCATTAGTTCTGAGGGGATTTAGACTGGACCTGAAAAAATTCAACTTAGGAGGGTTTTCGACTTAAGGAGATTCGAGTTATCGAGGTTCACCTGATATTATATGAAGCTTTTAAAAATGGGAAGGAAACAAAACCAGTGCCTCGAAACGTCGTTGATTTATTTGAGCTCGACATTCTCGTGCATTTCTCTTTTGTTTTCGAAATTCCGTCGTGTCTTGAATATTTTGAATTTGTACTCTCAATCCACGCTGACTGGATTTCTTTTTTTTTTTCTCAGGTGGCATCGATAGAAGTGCCTCCAGAGGCGTTGAAACAAGCTCAGGCTGAATCCAGCGATCGTCTGAGAATCCAATTCGTGGGTTTCGCAAACGGCCTGCTTTTCGGATCCGCTGCGAAAAACGAAACCGACGCAGAAGCCCGGAATGCGAGGGTCATTTCCGCAACGATCCGAGGACACCCTGTTCAAAATCTCACCGCACCCGTGAAAATCATCATTCCTACTCCGTATCCCCGAAGAAGTTCCGCAACGTATCGCTGCGTGTTTTGGGATGAGAAAGGTTCGGGTTTCTTTTTTTCAGTTTTTTTTTGTCTTTATGAGGGTGCTGTACATTCAGGGGATTAAACTCATTGATTGGTGTAGATATGAAGTGGTCAACGGAGGGCGTGAACACGTCATTCGCGACGGTTGCCAAGGTTGGATGCGAGTCGACGCACTTGACATCATTTTCTCTGTTGTTGGACTTGACTCCGGAGACCGAGTCATCCTTGAGCCCGGGGCACCAGATGGCGCTGACTGTCATTGGTTTCATCGGCTCCACGTTATCGCTCATCAGCTTAATTATCACCATCGTCACGTATTCCATCTTCAGGTGAATTCAACTGCAATACAGTCAACCCTGGATTTAATGCCCCTGATTTTGTAGCACCAATTTCTCTGGAACAAATCTCCCTTTGTTGTGTTCTCAAGGGAAACCCTGATTTAGTGCCAACTCACCTAGAACAAAAAAGTTCCTGTCCTGAATGAAAAGTAGGCAAAAAAATTAAGGCTTACTTCTAGAGATATCATTAGGTTAATACTGAAAATTACATGTCCATGCTCAGAATAATTTTGAAAACTATATTTCTGCATTAACATTTAATTAGGTGGTTTTTTTTTATGCCCTCTACTGCAAAGAGTGTCTCAATAACTGGGATAGTCTCTTTTTAAAAAATCAATCCACCCAATCGTGAAACTGCATCCTTTCATTGAGAGGTTGATACAGAACTCCAGGAAGCAGCTCCACTCTTTCACTTGACCCAATATGCGCAAAGCTCTAATATATTCTGCATTAATATACTAATTTAAATGAAGTAAAATGGTTCATTTGAGCCTGAAATTATTTCCTGTGGCTTTCTCCCTTGTAAAACAGACTCAATGCCCATGAAAATTCTGCAAATGAGACTATTTTATCTGTATTAGAAGTCCTCAACTATGTTTTCCTCTGATACAATGCACCCAATTTAGTGCTATCCTTGCTTAGTGCCACAAAATGTGCCAGGACAAATGATGACTCGGAATTGGGATTTGACTGACCTTTTCATTTTATCCAGGACTATGTTTGAATGTAATGCAAGTACCTGAAGAATTTATGAAGATCTTGGAAGTAATTTTGGAATAGAGATGCTCATTCTCATTTGGTCACTGTCAAGCAGTGAGTTTTCCTCATCAAGGAAAAACTCAAAATTTTGAACCAATCTAAGCAGATTCCTTTCCTCCTGAAGATAGTTTCTGTCTCAATTTGTCCCCATCTCACATTCTCCCTGTCTTGAATTGTCCCTTTTTCTAATTGCCCTGTCTCATATTGGCCCTGTCTCAAATTATCTGTCTCCATGTGTGTTGTCTCAAAATTGTCTGTCGCGATTTTTCCGTTTCCCGTACAAAAATGTACTATGGGAGTGAAAAAAGTGTGTGAACCAAGCCCATTGTAACTTCTTGAAAATTAATTTGCAACAGCTTTCACAATTTTAAGCAATTTTTCTATGTTTCCCAGGACAAAAGGGCTTTGTATTGTAGCTTAATTGAAAACCTCTTTCAGTCGAAACCTCCCTAAGTCGAATTTTCTTGTTGGTCCCTTGAAGTTCGACTTAGAGAGGTTCAACTGTACGTAAGCTCTTCCTGTATTTACGAGACATTAAAAAAATACAGTGTCAATTTTTCTTCAATTGAAGAAACAATTCANGAAAATGTGGTTTTTTAGATTAATTTTTTAATCTACTATAATTATTTTTCACTTGTGAGTGCGGTGGTAGCTTGCAACCATCAATTAAGTTAAAGGTAGAATTTTTGTGGAGTAATGTGGAAACATTTTTTCGAGTTTTTCCGGCTTCGGAAAACAAGGTTTCAGGCCTTCTCAGCATAAATTCGTGACCAGTTTGGAGTTAGTGTTCTTAGTGCTTCACAACAACAAGAATGCGGATTTTCCCATCGTCTTTTTGAAGAAGCAGCATGTTTTACGAAATTGAATAATTGACTCATATTTTGTAACAGATTGGTACTCTTGCCGTAATTTTCTCATCGCCGATCAATGAACTTATGTTAACAGGATTATTTTCACAAGAATCATGAAATATAATGGTGTCAGGAGATTGCGTCAGGATTTGTCTCGGAAGATTCTGCTGTTGCACGAATTATAAATTAATTTTTTCTTGAGTATATTGGGGTTACTTTTTTCGAGTATTTCCTGGTTCGAAAATGTATTTCAAGGACTTCTCAGCATAAATGCATGACGAGTTCGGAATAATTATGCAGCGTGTTCCACACTACAGCATTAATAATGCCGATTTTTTCCGTTACTGTTTTAGAGCCTGCATAATTTACCGATTTTAAGAATCGTGTTTTTTCCTAGAGATCAGTATTATTGGCGCAATTTGCTCATCTCTGATAAATGAACTTATCGGGAAAGAATTAATTGCTTATAATTATGAAATATACCATGGTTTCAGGACATTGTGTCAGGATTCGGCAGGGAATATTTTGCTGTTGCAGGTAAATTTTTGTGGAGGAATAAGGAAATATTTTTTGAGATTTTCCTGCTTCAAAAATGTATTTTCAAGTTTTCTCATCAGAAATTCACGACCAGTTCGGAGTAATTCCTCATGTGGCGCACCAATAATAATGCCTATTTTTCTCGTTATCGTTTCAAAGTTAGTTTTAATATACCCGTTTGAATAATTAAAGTATTGTATGTGTTTTTCAAAAAAGATGAGTTTTTATTGGCGAATTTTCTCATTTCTAAATGAATAATCTTATCTTCAATGAAAGCATCAATAATTATGAAATATAACATGGTTTCAGGACATTTCGTTAGGATTTGGCTGGGAATATTTTGCTGTTGCAGCTAAATTTTTGTGGAGAAATAAGGAGAACATTTTCGACTTCATCCTGCTTCGAAAATTTTTTCAAGGCTTTCTCCATAATTTTATGACCAGTTTGGAGGAATTATTCCGTGTATTCCACATTAATAATTCTGCCGATTTTTCCCGTGACCGTTACAGAGGCAGCTTAATTTACCCGTTTAAAGAATTATGTGCTTTCGAAAATATCGGTTTTATTGGCGCGATTTTCTCATCTCTGTTCAACGAAATTGGCGTGAAAGAGATAATTGCATAAAATAATGAAATTTGATGGTTGCTGGACATGGCGTCACGATTCGTCTGGGAAGATTCTGCTGTTGCACGTATAATTTTTGTTTTGTTTCGAAGATTGAGGAAAATGTTCAGAGTATTTCCTGCTTCGAAAATTTATTTCAAGGCTTTTTCAGCATGATCAGCTGTGGGATTATTCCGTGTGTTCCATGCTAATATTAATGCCGATTTTTTCCGCTACCGTTTCAGAGCCTACATAATTTACCGATCCTAATAATCGTGTGTTTTCCAAAAGATCAGTGTATTGACGCAATTCTCTCATCTCTGATCACTGAATTATTGTGAGAGGGTTAATTGTATACAATTATGAAATACTGTACAGTACGTGTGTAATGGTTCCAGGACAGTGTGTCAGGATTTGGCTGGGAATCTTCCGCTGTTGCAACTAGAATTTTTTTGTGCTTCATGTGGATACCTTTCTGAAGTGCAGTATTCCATGCTTCGAAAATTTTGTTCAAGGCTTTCTCAGCATAAACGCATGACCAGTTTGGAGTAATAATTCCGTGTGTTCCACGCTAATAATAATTCCGATATTTCCCGTTACCGTTTTAGACCCTTGAATAATTTATAAATTTTAATAATTGCGTGTTTTTTCCATCACGTTTACTGGCGAAATTTTTTCATGTCTGTGATGGAGATTGAGTGTCTCAACAAAAGATAGAGGATCAGAATAATGAATAATTGAGCATATAATAATGTCCCAAAACAGAATTTAGTAACTCAGTGAATTTTGAAGAACATAATCACACACACACACAAGGTAATCACACAAAGTCTTTTTTTTTAAAGGAATTTTGAATGTTTTTAGCCCTTGACAGCTTGAGAATTGGCAGTGGAATGAAAACTGAGTTTCATTTTTTGGGAGGAAGAAGGAAGAGGAGGAAAGTGGTTTCCCTTGAGTGGATTTTTCTGTGTTTATGATTGGCTGATTTCTTCAGAATTGAAGACGATGCTGTGGATTGTTGTACCAGTCCTTTGGGACTTGTTCTTTGGTTCTGTTGCGTTCCAGGCCCTGTACCCAGTTAGACAGGATGGGGGGATTATTAATATGATATTTAATAGATGTGTGTTGCAGAAATAAATTCATTCATATACATTTAGAAACAAGGCTTTTAAAGTCACTGTTTGCACCAAAAGCTTGAGCATCAGTGAGATAAGAATCTGGCATGAAGGTTTTCCGGATTCTTATCATCAAAGAAAAAGTAGGCTTAGAAAAGTGAGAGTATCTCAAGATCTGTCAATCAGGTCAATTTTTATATTAACACAGAAAAGTTGAAGAACATCTTCAGCTTCAATTTAAAATTTTGCAGAAGTTTGTAAGTGTAAAATTTGTGGAGCTATTTGCTTTGGAAGTGCGAGCATTGGGAATTTCACCACAGGCACAGCATCTTTTCTTTGCTGATATTATTTCTTTTTGAAAGCAAGTTTTTATTGCACAATGCAAGATTGTATTTGCTGATTGTGTGCGTGATTGTTGTCTTTATGAAACCTGTGATCAGAGACAATAATGAAGTTGTCTTTAACATCCAAGGAGTGAGGATGCTCCAGCTTCCCTCACTTCTGCAGTCATCATGTAGTTTTGCATTTTAAAAATTAAATTCCCTTGGAGGCTGGGTAACTGCCTTAGCACTGAGATGTCTCTTGCATCTGGAATATTTTTAATGCAGCTTGAAATATGTAATACATTTGCATTGCAGGCCCCAACAGTCTGATCAGTGAATTATCGTAAAAGAGTCAATTGCATAAAATTGTGAAATTTGATGGTTGCAGGACATTGCGTCAGGATTTGGCAGGGAAGATTCTGCTGAATCTGTGTGTGTCATTGCTGGTGATGAACTTGTCATTCGTCGTGAGCTCCATGAGTCAGCACTTCGACAATGCATCAGTGTGTTGGATGACTGCCGTGCTCTTGCATTACTTCGTCCTGTCGTCTTTGCTGTGGATGTTTGTGGAGGCTTTGCACATGCATCAGCTGCTCATCACGGTCTTCACTTCCTCAGAAACCCACATTCTTCTCAAGAGGATGCTCCTGGCTTGGGGTAAAAAAAATTATTTTAAAAACGAACTTGCTTTTCTCTGCTGTGACACCGCTAATAACGATGATGAATCTCTTATTTGAGGACTCGATGAATAATTCATGGGTGTTATTGTTGGCTCTCAGGATCGTCAATAACTTTCATTTTTTTAAATTTGAAAGTCAGTGATGGTTGCATTTATTCATATTTTCTCACTGGTCCGCAGCAGAAGGTGATTCAGCGTAATTGATAAATCAGCAAAACAGTCTGATTGTGCATTTGTCCCTTGCAAAAATTCCTTAAAATACAATAAATGTGGTTCACTCTTTTCAAAGCAATTCTGCGTTATGCTCAGTTGACCAATATGCTGATCGCTTTTGTTCAATGATTTTTTTGTACGTGTCAAAATTTTGTAAAGAGGCTATACCCGGAAATCGTTGCAATTAAAAAAAAAAAGGTTGACCAGCCTTTGCCGTGTATTTTGTTTAACTTATTCGGTTCATTTTCGTGTTCCTTTGAAAGTCTTTGGTTAAACACGTTAAAGGATTTGTAAAACAGCCTGATCATGCTTTTTTTCGTTAATCTCACGGCAAGAAAAAATGAATATGAATCACCTTTCTCAAAGAAATTCTGCGTTATGCGCAGTTGACGATTATGGCGATCGCTTTGGTTCAGCGGTTCTTTTTTGTAATTTTCTACATTTTGAAAAGGTGATCCAAGCCTGCTTTTCAAACCGTTGAAATTTGAAAAACCGCTTGACAAGCCTTTGTCGTTTTTTTTTTTACTCATTCAGTAAATTTTCGTGTTCCCTTGAAAGTTTTGGGTTCAACACTGAGAATCTCGGTTTTTTTTTTTTGAATCTCTGAGATTCTTCATTGAGGCACAATCACATTCAGACGAAACCGTACAATTAATGCACATCAAAAATGCCAAAAACAATGATTATAATTTACCGCTTTCAAAGAAATTCGATGTTATGCTTAGTTGACCAATACGGTGATCGCTGTAATTGTGGAGTGATTTATTTTTTAAACTTTTCAAAAGTTTGAATAGCTTATACAAGGAAATCGTTGCAATTTTAAAACCCATTCGACGACGAGCCTTTGCCGTTCATTTTGCAAAACTTAATCATTTAATTTTTGTGTTCATTTGGACATCTCGGGTTAAACGCTGAACAACGGCTTTCGGTTCAGATTTCATTTCTTCGGGAAATCTCGACGGTTTTTAAATCGACGTGCTCTTCTTTTCATTTTCAGGAATCCCTTTCTTGATCGTAGGAATAACTGCTTGTGCTGGGTCATCGTTCTACATCAGCGATCGACAGGACTTCTGCTCAATTTCTGCGAGGAATCCTTACGTTTACTATGTCACCTACGTGGTGCCTGCTTGCTTGATTGTGTTGATGAACATGGCTGTGTTTTGCATGGTGTGCAGAGTTATCTGCTCCAGAAGAATGGTGACTGGGAAAGTGGGCGGTTTGCCCAGCTCTGTTTCCATGGCCCAGGTGAGCTTTTCAAGACGACCTCGAAAATTGAACTGACCTTTTTTCAGGGCAAACGAGTACAGTATTCCGTGATTGAATTCACCAGGATTTTGACTCGGCCAAATGAAAGAGAGCGGTGATTTGATTCTTGTAGTGTTTGCAGCAGGGTTTCCTTTGACATTCTTTATCGATGCAAACCGATTGGCGAATGAGAAAGGTTTCTCTGATTCTTCGGATTAAAATCGGAACTAAATCATGCATTTTTTGGAAAAAGGTCGAATCTTGGCTAATATCTGCCTGATCGGAGGACATTCTTTTTAGAAAATGAAAATATGGCGAACGTGTGACCGTTCGCCATATTTCAACATCAATAAATGATGTTTCGAAATTGCATTGGCTTTCTGTGCAAAAAATTCTGGGAATAACCAGAAAAGTTCGTTGTAGAGAGACGATGCACATTTTTATTGATATTGGTCTGAAAAAAATGTTTGCTGCAATAAATGGTGATTCCATATTGCAGTACAAGTGGACTTTCTCAACCAAAATTTCAGGAGACCGGAAAAATGCTTTTTAGATTGTCTTTTTGCTTGTTAATATGATATATGTGGCCAAAAAAAGTTGAATTCGAAAGAAGCTATCTCTCTTTTCAGAGACATCTCAGATTTTTTGGGTCGTCTTTAAATTGACTTCTTTGAGGTTCCCTGCTCGGGAGTTCGTTGCTACTGGAAGATTTGACCCGTGAGCGTTTTCTGCACCACATAGGTTCGAGGAGTTTTGGCAGTGATGGCATTGCTGGGTGTGACCTGGATCTTCGGTGCGATGAGCTTCGGGCCGGGAAAGCTGGTCTTCCACTACGCGTTCTCCCTGACGAACGCCTTCCAAGGCTTCGTCATCTTCGTCATTCGGTGTCTCCAGTACCCCGAGGCGAGACAGTGCTGGCTGCATTTGTTGGCAACCGGGAAAATCAAGACTTACAGAGGACCTTCCAATGCGAAAGGAAGAGCCACTCGGAGTAATGCGACCCACACAACGACGTCAGTGGTGGACGGTGGAGACTTTCCTTCCGAGTCGTACACTGATGGTGTGAGGAAGATCCGAGATAGAGTCATGAATGCGTTTAGAGGTGGGTCCTGCGAGTTCACACGGAGCCAGAGAGATACACACGGATTTTCGGAAAATGAAAAAAAATATTATTTTTTCGCATTCATTCATTTGAGTGCCATTTTATAAATTTAGATAATGAAAAAATAGACTTGACTTTGGATAAAAGAGAATCTAGGCGCACGAAAGTATATGCAGAAGAATAAAATAAACTACAACATAAAACAACTGTGCAAGTTGTTGCTGTCCCAGTTGTTGCTTGGTGCAAGTTGTTGCTGTCCCAGTTGTTGCATGGTGCAAGTTGTTGCCGTCCCAGTTGTTGCATGGTGCAAGTTATTGCTGTGTGACTTGTCACTGTTACAGTTGTTGCTGTGCAATTTGCCCGGTAACCCTGGTTCTCTGGTGAAGCACCCCTGTGAGCTTTGCCAAAATCCCATTTGGCAAGACTCACTGATCATCATCCAAGGGGACTGAAGTCAAAATGAATTATTTTATATTGCACTGCAGTCAGCCAATTGTGAAGCAAAAATCAAAGCATGTGACGTTGAATTCCGTTATAATGAAATTTTGTCAATTATTGGCTCACAATTGGATTTCTTCTTGGTACCCAGGTACAAAAATATGCATTCCTCTTTGAGAGAAGAAGTGAGGAGCAAGTGTAAAGGGCCGTTAGGCTTAATAATTAACATTTGCAATCATCTGAGCTAACCAATCAATCCATTCAAACGTTCTTTAACAAAGGAACTCACCTGAAAAGATTTGAGTGCTTCAAAACTTGAAGATGCCGATGGCTACAAAAATCAAATACTTTGTCTGGGATCCAATGGACCCATATCAGTACTTACTAAAATGTCCTGCACATTTTCCTTTGAAACGTGAGAAGGAAAAGGGGGGAAGTGTGTCATAGGCAAGTATAAATTTTGCAAAACGTTTTTGAATTATACGTGCATGCATATTAATTAGACTTGATGCCTTTGGGAAGGGTTAGAACGATTTTAGCAGAAAGGCTCATTTCAATGAAGTCAATTGAAGATTAGTTGAATTCAGGTTTAACTCATGTCGAAATTCAAATTTGCTTATTTTTATTTTTGAAATATTGAAGTTTTACAGTTACCAAAATCGGGTGCGCTTATTACCCAGGGATACAATTTTGTCAAAATTTTAGACTAAAAACACTGGTACACGTATTACTTGAGGATGTATGGTAAATGACTTGAAAATCACGGGAGAAATCCATAACTTTGCCTCTTGAAAAATGCCTGTGCAACAATATAGGCAACCGGGGCTCCGTGGAGCCCGTTCACCCGAAATCCCAAGGGGATCCGTAGAAATGAACGAGGAATAAATTTGGATGATTTTTTAAAGTAACATGAGCATAATTCAATGATGTTTGCGTCGTATGAAAATGAACGTAATGGACTCAAGGGTATAAAGATTCCAAAATAGGTCAAGAATCCTGGCATAGTTTTTACAGTACTGTATTCACACAAGTACACGCGTACCTTATTAAAAAAATCTGCAAGAAGAAAAATGGGTTTGCGTCATATCGGATCACGCAGTTTATTTTTTAGAAAAGCCATTTTGGTACTCAATCTCTACTTTTTCAGAGAGTTTGAACTTGAATTTCCACTTTCTACTTTAAAGGTATAATATTGCAAAAATATTATGCCTATACAATTTGTATAAAAGGTACAAAAATATTATACCTATTATAGCTGTAGTGTCCAATATTATAAAGGTATAATATTGGAGACTACAAACTGGAGTGAGCGTCATACGCGGGTTCAGGATTTTTCTCAAAATGTGAAGACAGGATTAAAATTATTTCGTAAGCCATGTCATTTGTTCATGTACTCTTACCCTGTGCTACATTTTCTCGTTTAACCTACGTCTTCTTTTCTGTTGCAGCCCCAAAACGGGGAAATGCTGAAGATGCGGACGATCCGCCTCAAAAACCAACAAGAACGCACATTGATGCCACGAAGAATTCTTGGAATGCGAGTCCAACGATTCAAACCAATGTTTCAACCATCGCGAAGCAAGTGGAGAGCATTTATGAAACTATCAATTCTTGCCCGGAAAGCAAGCCTGAGGACCATGATGAATCCACCATGGTAATTATTTCATCATCAACAAGTTCAGGACGTGAATAAGAAAATAATTTTGCGTGCGTTGGGAATTTTTTACTCGTAATATACCGAACCCAATTCATTTGAGCTGCAACCAACTCGAAATTTGCATTCCAGGAAGATATTTTCAGAGGTCAGGTTACTCTCTGTTAGGGTTCTTCGGATGAAGCTTGTTATGCAGCGATTTCGTTGATAGGAATTGCGATTGACTTCAGACATTCTTAAATTCAGTTTGCGGTCTAGCTTCAAGAAGTGATGCATTTTCGAATTACTTACAGCTGCATCTTTCATGTGAACATCCTGAGGCTAATTTGAGCCTATTTTTTTTTTAGATGTTGTGTCTCAATAAGCATGTCATATATCTGGTGATTTTGTTCGATAGAAAATTGTTTGACTTTGGACGTTTATTAAATTCAGTCAGTGGTCGAGCGTCAAGGAATTTTGCCTTTTTCGAATTTATTACGATAGCAGTTTTGTTTATGAATATACCGTAAAATAAATGTATTGTTATTTGTTTGAGATGCTTCGTCTCATTAAGCATGTTACATCTGGCGATTTTGTTTGATAGAATAGCGATTGACTTATCAGGCATTTGTAAATTCAGTTTGTCGTCGGGTTTCGAAGAATGATGCCATTTTCTGATTTCTTACAGCAGCATTTTTGTATGTGAACAACGTAAAGCTAATTTATAGCTATTTGTTTGAGACATTGCGTATCAATTACATCTGGCGATTTTGCTCGAAAGAAAAATGATTCACATTTTCAGACCTTGATACGTTCAGTTTGGGGTCTAGCTTCAAGGAATGATGGATTTTAAAAATTTCTTATAACATCATCGTTGTTTATGAGCATCGTAAATTTAATTTATAGATATTTGTTTGAGATATCTCAATAGGCATGTTACATCTGGCGATTTTGTTCGATAGAAAAACAATTCACATTTTCAGGCCTTGATACGTTCAGTTTGTGGTCTAGCTTCAAGGAAAGATGGATTTTTTAAATTTCTTATAACGGCATCTTTGTTTATGAACATCGTGAAGTTAATTTATCGCTATTTGTTTGAGAAATTGCGTCTCAATAAGCATGTTATATCTGGCGATTTTTTTTATAGAATAGCGATTGACTTATCAGGCATTTGTAAATTCCGTTTGTGGTCTAGCCTCAAGGAATGAAACTTCTTTTTCTTTTTTCGTGCGACAGCATCTTCGTATATAAACATCGTAAAGCTAAGTTCTATCCATTTATGTACGATATTACTTCGAAAGAAGGCTTCATTCCACATTTTTCCACAATCTTTCCAGGAAACCCGACCAAAAAGAACCTTGCTCTCAGCACGCCCGTCATTTTCAACCAGCAAACTGAAGGACTACAAGGAAGGATCCATCACCTCTTGGCAATTCCTCAAACCCTCTGCCCAGAAAGAACCCATCTCCATCTCGACCCACTACAGAACGGAAGTGGCCCGAGGCAGGACAAAACCGGACAGAAGATTCCACACGTGTTCGGGTGTCCCAAAAGCCGTCAAACAACAAGCAAGTGAGAGGAATAACTTGACAGTGAGGTTGGATGAAACCAAAAAATCCCGAGGGGTTTTGCTGCTTCATGGCCAGTTGGTTTGGTCGACGGCCAAGCAAAACGAAAGTGCGCTGGAAGACAAAATTTCCGATGTCCCAACTACGTAGGATCCTACGGGGAAATGAAAAATTGAAAATGCTGCTGCTTCATTCGGGAATTTGAAAAATGCGCTGCTATATAGGTGTGGCTATTAACGATTTATTTTTTCAGTATTTTTTTCTCTCCTTTCTTTGTTATTGTCCGCAGTATTGCAGATGGTTACCAGCAGCGCTCATCGGTTCTTCTTTTTTTTATGGTAACATGTAAATGTGGAAATTGTGTTCCAGCTTCAACTTCGATGAAATCGTCGTTTCCAGCATTGCAATCTATTGGGAATGACTTGACTCAACAGTTGAGCGTAACGTTTTGTTCATACGGTTCACAGAGAGTGAATACATTCTAGTGAACGAATGCTGTGGGTGTGCAATTCGACATTATGAAACTTTGTTGTGAGACGAAATGAATTGCTTCTTTGTGTTGTTTAGTACCTTCGTGGATGTACTTTTCTGATCACTCCGGGAAATTGCTTCTTCGTGTTAAGCGAAATTAAGCCATTTATTTGGCATTTGTGTTCAAGTCCCGCAGCATTTTCTTGGAAAAAAACTGAGAAAAACATGGTCCGAATGTAGAATGTCAAACGGTATGATCTACTTTCCAAAAATGCATACTTAGAGATAAGCTTAGATTACTGTGCGTATATGCTTAACCGAACTGATGGATTTTTGATCGGTCTTCATTAGGCAAACAAAAATCCTTTGAGGTCTCATTGAATATATAATTATTTGTCCTCACAATAAAAAAAAAAGAATGCTTGAGCCACAAAATATGACTTGAAAAGTTATGAACATAAAACGCTTGCATTTTTTTAGGGAAAAGTGCACAAATAAAAGAATGTGAACGTTTTTAGCGCTATCCAATGTCGTCGATGATGGCTGAGTTTTTTTTTTCGCATTTCTTACCACAAAATTTGCCTTGACGGAATTTGTATCCGTCATTCAAATTAATATGTATTTTTCGTCTGAAATTTGTTGTGGAAGTCACTTTTGTTTATGAAATACTTTTCGAAAATTAGTTTTATGTGGGTTTTCTGTGGAGCAAGTGTCACTGTATTTTCAAATCAATAAAAGCATATCTGTCATAACTAAGGGAGCAAGAAATTATATTCTTTGTTCATTTTTCTCCCACTGTAGATGCTATAACCAGTGAGGGTCACACAATTTAAAACACGCAGATACAATAAGATGGCGACTCGAATATTGAATCTAATTTTTGGCATAAGCTGAAAATGCGTACGAATCGCGCATTCAAGCTCAAATGCGAAACGAAATAAAGCAGAAAATGAATCAGCATAAAGAAGTGTTCCACAACCCTTTTGGGCCCACAGACCACAAAATATAGATGATTTTTTTTTCCATTGAACAGGCAAATTTTCATAACATTTTCTGCAAGCTGTCTGTAGAAGTTCCATACAAATTGTGTGGATCAGCGAACATTTTTTGTCTACCTGCCATGAAGTCCTCCAAACAAAACTTTTACAGTAAAATCCCATTATAAAAAACTTGTTTGGACCCCAGGAAAAGTTTTTTTTATCACAAATGAGTTGATATAGAGATATTTTCAAAATTATTGACACATAGGTAGGAAGACTTTCTTTACATTATACCTGCATCTTTCTTTTATGGCCTTTTCGGAGGTTTTTCAGTGTTCAAAAAAACTGTTATCTTCAAAAAGAAATTTATATGTTAATTAGAAACATTTGCTCATAATAACAGATGAACACTAACACTTTTTGCTGACTTCAAGTTTTTCTAAGCAATTCCTGCACAGATATGTAGTAAGGATAAATGCTCCAAAAAAGATTACTATTTTAAGCATCATTGGGGTTTTTCAAGCATACAAACCAATTTTAACATGAGTTGTGCAGGGTTCATTCTCTTCATCTAACCCCCACCCCCTTATGAAGTGAACTTGACCTATTGTGTTGACTCATGTAGTTCCTGGGAGAGTACGGTAACCGGTATCTCAGACCCGATTTTCTCATTCATCCTTCATACACTGCTCCTATCAGGGAATCAAACCGCGTGGGCGGTTGGTGTTACACTGTTATCTGGGACATGCGGCCTACATTTTATGCGGTACTTCCTCATGTTTATGTGTGGGTGGAACGGGGTTAACTGAGTGAACCATTTTTTTTTTTTGCTCTTCGAGAAGAAAAACTTCAAAAGAAAACTTTCAGGATTAAAAAACATTATCATGCAATTGCGTTACGTTGTATAAATCAAATTGGAGGCTAAATTCGGAAATGGTATACGCCGACCGGCTCATTTCATGATTGTATTGAACAGAACTCATCTTGCTAAACCTCCAAAAGCACTTTGAAATCGTCAGAAACACTGTAAGTCGACTTTAAATTGTTGATAGGGGTGCAATTTTAGGGGGCAATCTGCAATCTGTTGGGGTAGATTTTTTTTAGCTTCAATTTTCCCCAAGTCCAATCGTCCATGTGTCGGTGTCAGGGTCCCACTGAAAATTAAATTTGCATCCTTTGTTGGTCAGTCACGTGTCTTGAAAACATTGACGGGGTCAGTTCACGTCTGCTGGGAAATCAGGAACTTGTGGAGGGCTAATCTCAAGCGACGATCTTTTTGCTTTCATGTTGAGAACGGAAACGCTTGTATGAATGGACCTCTAAATCAGCGTTCGCAATCGTTTGAAAAACTCGTAAACGTACTCTTCTTCATTCGCGACGTGAATTTCCTGCGTGGGCGCGATTCCGCGAAATGCGAGGGGGTTTCTAGATCCCGGACCCGAGTTGGGTCAATACACCCGAACCTCATTTTTTTTTTTTGTCGAAACCCATTGAAGGCGAGGGCGAATTCCGCGAAAACCCACGCAACAATAATGCGGGTTACCGGGATGCGGTCGGCGGGTGAATATAAAACCCGCGGATCCCGGACGTCTCGGGCAACACTTTCAATCATGACTTCGGGCCGAGCATTCCTGTGGTTCGCGCTTGTGCTTTTGGGCGCCACTGCCGCCCCAGCCGCCGCCTCCGTGTTCGACGAGCTCCGCGCGGATCTTGCTCGCAGTGTTGACGTGGACGGCGTCTCTGCAACCTCAGTCAAATCTGTGAGTACCACTCACTACCTTTCATATTGAAGACAAGCATAATCAAGTACAGTACTACTGTAATGCATTATGAATTCAAAAGCATGCAGCAACCAAATTCAGCGTCCGACTCCAAAAAAAAAAGCGCCTTCCCCCGTAAAAATCGATAGAGGAAAACAGAGGGCATATTTTGATTTTGGTTCGTTAAAAATATAGTACTTATTTCGAAATGAAGTGCACGACAAATTTCCACCAGCTGTGGCAGAGTTAAAAAAAATTAAATTGGTTTTATCAAAGGTTACCACCTTTTTCTACGACCACACGTTTTTGAAAGAAAAAAAGCTAGCCTGATTACTGCCCACCGTAACAGTTAAAAAAATCAAAAGGACATTTAAAACTATTTCTTCTTATTAGCACAATTTAAACAATTCGAATTAAGTTTCGAATTCAATAAATTCAATAAATCTTTCAAATGAGTTTCAGTGCAAGGGCACGAGATCCAAAACCCTGAAGTATTATAAGAGGATATGCTGATAACTGAAGCGTATAGGCATAAAGATAATGTAGCTATTATTGTAGCACATTCATTCTGAAAATATTTAATGCCAGTGCATTTAATTTGAATATTATGTACGTGTTATACCAAAATAAAAAAATTATTTCTGAAGCACAAAAAGTAGATAAGCGTTATGTACTGTATTTTCAATTGAAACCCTTTCTTCCCTCTCTGCAATGTCAGGAAAGTGTCGTAGTCGGACCTCATCGAAATTTATCGAGGCGACCAAATCTTATTTATTTTTCGAAACTAATATAACATTTCAATAGCCGTTTTTCAGCAGAAGTTGTTCCAAAACACATTGCCTATACTGTAGAAAAAAAGATTCCGTATCTTATTTAGTTAATGGCTGGGGTTTCTTATAATCAGTTGTTTTTGGAAGCAACCCCAGCTGAAATCTGACATTTTACGGTCTTACTTATATCGCTATTATAGCTATAGAACTATTGTATTGCTATAGACTTTTTAAATACGAAAGCGGTGATGATATTCTCTTGTGCCCCGCGAAATTTTAACGGCAATGTCTCAAATTTGCAGAAATTGGCGGACTTCCGAGAAGCCTACCGAAAATACCTCGCATCCCTCTCAGGAGCACCAACAACGATAGAGTACCGGAAAGTGCTGATCATGGTACCGAACGGTGAGCAAATGCAATTTAATTTAAACAGTTTTTATAAATTCAAAGATGTCAACTAGAGCTCCAAAACAAAATTTCGCTATCAAGTAAAAACTGACTTTTTCTCATCGAGATGCGTGCGAAAACGAGTGTGTGAGTCTTTTTTTTTTCGATTCAAAACCCTCATTCTTGGAGTACAGTACAGTGGCCACCCGCCTAACAGACCTCCCGTGTAAGGGATTTTGCTCTGTATAGGCAGTTTTTCCTCCTGCCCAACAGACAAAATCTGCCTAACAGACTTTTGTTGGTTTAAAATTAGTGTTGACAGTTAAAAGTTTTCCTGTTTTATGCAATTGAATTTGTCTAAAGGACTTTTTGTCTAACAGACTTGTCTGTCACACAAATTAAGTCCATTAGATGGGGGCTGGATGTATATGTTGAAATTGTTTCAATTTATTGTTGGCATTCTTTTGTTCAACGCCAGGAACAAAGAATATTTTGCCTATATATTCTAACTTTCACTCAAATCATCACTAGGAGTGATCATGTTTGCGGGAAAATTACAGAATAATTTAAAAGGTAATTGTTTTGATTTTGTGCACATTATTTAGTCATCTGTAAATTCAACAAAGAATACGAAAACCGGCGTCCTGTAAGAACGAACAAAAATATTTACAAGGCTCAATGTAATTTAGAATTGAAACAAAGTTCTTTTCCTTGCCCCTGAAAATCTTCAAAAAACTCTGAATAACTTCCTGGAATAATAACGATTGTCTATTGGTAACCATGCGATAAAAATGCTGAAAAAAATTTGAATGCGTATGGTGATCAAAGTTTTCAATATTTCTGGACTAACGAACCAATCTACAGTAATTTCATCTGAACGAAAGAATGCGAATAATTGAATAAACATGAACGATTCAAACATTTGAACCATTTCTCCTGAATAAAAGTTTTCCAGTACGAACATGTTGAATATAAAACAAGAAGGTTGACTAAGAGCAAGGTAAAAAAAAAAAACAATAAAAAGCAAAGAATATTCTTCCCAATGGGGAGTAATGTTTGGGAGTCGCCCTAATAGTTAGTGCGCATATAAGGTCAGTTCGCGGAAAAGAGGTCTCGGGCTTCCCGGAATTTTACGCGGGCAGGTCGTCGCCCATAGCCTCAGAGGGGGGAAAAACACAACTGGGTCACTTTTTCATTCACCGGGTATCACTTCCGCGAATGCAGGTGCGGTATACACCAGTGTTCCCCAACCCGCGGACCCGGTTTTTGCCCGTCCGCGGGAAATTTCTCCAGGCTAATGATTTTTTTTTTCACAAGTAGCAATGAATTCGCATAAAAAAAATTACAGTATGTATCTTTATTTTTAATTTTTTTTTTCAAAACAATGGCTGTTTAAATTATCTCGTGAAAAATATATCTTTGGTTTTCTCCTAATAATACTTCAGAAATTTTTTTACTTGATTTAATGAATTATTTTAATTTTTGAGTCTAGAAAACCTTTCTTCAAGCCCACTTCTCCATTTTTTGAAGACATTCCGCTATATAGCTGCTTCATTGGGTCCTGAATTAATTTTTCAAAAAATAAAAGCTTTTCAAATACCTGCCATTCAAGCTGTCTTTCGAGCAACACTTTTTTGAAAATGCGAATTTTTTTTGGAAATTTGCTGGTCCCCAGGATCAAAAAGGTTGGGGAACACTGGTACAGTATAAACCACACATTTCGCTGATCAGTAGTCTATAACCGGATGCATGGTCAGGTCATCGACACTATCGTATGCAAATATTTTCGGGTCATCGAGTCTGGGTCATCGAACTCTTCGTAATCGATTTTTTAACGCTACAGAATTTGACAGAAGAGAATTCGAACAACAACAGTCAACATGACGTCATGATTTTCTTGAAAATCCCGTTGATGGGAGGAAACTCCAGCTTCTTAAATTTCCGAAAGCTGCAATCCGCCAATAATAATTACCGTATAATTTTCAGGAATTCGAGAAACTCACATTATTAAACTCTTATGGCTTCTTCGCACTTGAGAAAGAAATTCAAAATTGAAAAATGGCTCCACTTTTTAAGGTCAGGTGAAATTTTTCGTGACGCGTGCTTAAGCTCAGCAATCAACGGATCTAATGCCAACTTATGAAATATTTACAGCACACTCACGTATATATACAGTATTTCTGAGAAAATGGGGTAACTCTTGGAGAATTCAAATCAAGTTTCCTCGATATGAACAGCAGGTAACAGTGAATATTCGCGAGTATCCCGAATTACTGTGTGTGAAGATAGAAAGAATAACAGAAAGAAACCTGAAAATATTTTATACTTTGCAAGTGTGCAATACAGTATTGTACTAACACTGCATATACCTTACACCGATATGCAGACATTTGCTTTTCCAAACCTCTCGCAAAAACCGTTGCGTCGCATTTTCCACAAACTTGACATATTCTTAGACAATTTCTGGTTTGCTTCAAGCGTGTCTTGATGAAATTCTCTGCTTATGTGCAGAGAGAAGTACTGTACTGTACAATCGACTAGGGCTTTTTATTGCAGTTCATTGCCTTTCCAAACTGCGGTCAGTGGTCGGACTGGTCATTTCCCGCAAAATTTAAACGATTTCATGCTAAGAATAATGCATATTATAATAAATGAACCTCATATAAGCGTTTCGCCGACCATTTTTTGTCAAGCCTGGCAACAACAACAAAAAAAGAAAAGAGGCCGGGAAAATGTTCTCTCCGCCAAATTGTTGCATGCTCAATCTCCAGGATTCAGCATGCAACATATGAAATTACTAAGGTTGTCGAACCATGTAGCGAAAAAAATGAGTCAGGCGAATTTGAGAGCAAGAGAAAAAAAACCCAGATGATTTTGTTGAAATGTTTCTAGGGAAAAGCTCGAGGGTCTTGGGTTGGGCGTAACGCCTGTTCCTCGAACACACACCACAAGCAAAGGGTTCCATTATTACCGTATAGTCCACACAGTAATGCGTCCAGCTGAGTCACGAAGGGGAATACTGTAGAATAATACATGGCTATTTGCTGACTCAGACACTGGGAATCCCACGCAATTAGCCAACCATCCCACAGGATTGCCTTTTCTTGGAAAGCGAGAAATGATGTTCAATTTCCGCCTGCCACAGCTTTCCCCCGGGGATTTCTTTCCCCCTTCAATCCCTCCTGTTGTTAGGGAGAAACTTACCTTAACATAAATTTGTACGTTTTTACAAGTGGATCAATTTGTAAAGTGAAGTTATTTAAGTATTGAAATAAAAAAAAAAACAGAATCAGCCTGGGACTAGGCCGGGGAACCTTGTTTTGGTTTCCCTGATTTAAATTAGAAGTATATTTCGAATATTTTGTCCCACAGAGTTGATACACAAATAATAGGTCTATCAACAATACAACACTCAACAGAACTTCACTGAAATTTGTAGATTTTTGCGATGCGCACACTTTGAAAGTTGGATAGCAAGTGGAGTTTGTTCTTAGGTAAATTGCGAGAGCAGCGGGAAATTATAGTAGATTAAAAAATTAATCTAAAAAACCACGTTTTCAAAAAGCAAAAAATAACCTTAAACGTGGTGTGCATCTATTTCATTTGTATTTCACTTCTTCTCAACAATCTCCATGCGCACCACGTTTAAGGTTATTTTTTGCTTTTTGAAAACGTGGTTTTTTAGATTAATTTTTTAATCTACTATAATTATTTTATTCTTTTTAAAAAATATTCTTAAAATTTATTTTTTCACAAAAGATTGCATTGTCATCAGTTTCTAGGCTATCCTGAAAGTTTCAGCTTGATAGCTAGTCGGGAAGTGAGTGAAATTTGAGTTTCAAAATTTGATCTGGACAAACAAACAGACAAGAAAGTGAGTTAATAAAAACGTGTTAATTAATTAGAAAAAAAAATGTTCCAGGGGGTGGGATTGAACTCGGACCTCTGCGACCAATTCAGTTCACCATGGGTTTTTTTCTTGGGGCCAAGGAAAACCTGCTCAAAGTTTTATTATAGAAATCTACTATAATTATTTTATTCTTTTTAAAAAATATTCTTAAAATTAATTTTTTCACATAAGATTGCATTGTCATCAGTTTCTAGGCTATCCTGAAAGTTTCAGCTTGATAGCTAGTCAGGAAGTGAGTGAAATTTGAGTTTCAAAATTTGATCCGGACAAACAGACAGACAAGAAAGTGAGTTCATAAAAACGTGGTAATAAAAACTAGTTATTCATTGTTCTTTTGGGTTGTTATCCTTGGTGAGTTCCTTCCCTTTGAGGGTTGGAACTCTTATCAAGATTTTTGTGGTTTTTTATAATTCATTTTAATTTAGTTTAAGCATTGTTTGGTGTGCGGCGGTTTCCCAACACCTGTAAAGTTAAGGGAATTCTCGTTGTCTGTAATTGCTCGTACCTTTCTAGAATAAAGATTACAGCCCTTTGAAATTTGATGATCCAGAACGACATTATATAGGGATATATTCTTGCTGAGTATTTCGTATTTCTCCAACGTTCGAGCTTACGGTACTGCATAAAATACTATTACTGTGGCCCCCTAACAGACCTGCAGTTTTTCCTCCCACCAAAGAGACTTCTTTTGGTTTTAAATTAGTGGTGAAAATTGAATTTTTAAATTTTTTACATAATTTAATTTGTCTAAAGGACTTTTCGTCAAACAGACTTGTCAGTTGCACAAATTAAGTCCGTTAGACTGTTTTTTAGGGTCTAAAATTGTATAATTTTCCGCTCATTTCTAAAAAAATTAAAATAAAACATCACCACCAGATATAATACCGATATTCACCAAACATTTGAAATTCCTATGAGAGGTGCGCAAGTATGCTGAAGAAGGTTTTTGGATTATCGAATCCACATAAAATCATGAATCGAAAATCGATCAACTGTACGTATATAATACTGTTTATCATTATTTTATTGGAAGTAAATATTGCATATTCAACCTGATTTTCTGCCAAGAGCTTTTTGATGAACATAGGCTGCGCAAGTTTATATTTGTTCTGCCTGGAATCTCGGATAGTCTACGGAACATGACTCAATTTTTGTTAGCTTTTTTAAAAACGGCGTTGACAAAAACTAATGAAAAATCTGCACCCAATTCACTCGTATTTTGACGAAACTGATTGTGTCATGATTCTGTAAGCTGCTTTTGGAAACCCTAATCTCATAAGAAGCAGCAAAAAAAAAAAAAAAAGATTCTCAAGCTAGCATCTATAAGCAGAGTGGATGCTGCTGAATTTTGTCCAAATGTTTTCTCATGAATGAAAAAAAAAATCACTTTCAAAATAGAGACGGCTGTGAGGCGAAGTATGGCCGCCTTAGACCTCCAGAGTTATAGGGACTCAGGCATGTGAAATGTTCAACCTTTTGAATCAACAACTGACACATATTTGAGATTTCGTCTCAGATTTTTGCGGAAAGATTGTAAGCATGGATTCGATAGTTTCTCCAACGTCCAATTACAAACCAAATTGATAATTGCTTTGTTCAAGTATCAACTCGCTAACTGCTGTTCAGAAGCAGGGTGATATTGTACTGTATTCGTTGAAAGTTCACGGAAGACAGGCCGAAGGTTAATGAGTCACCTATGCATGAAGCAGTCCTATTTTTCTTTTAATAACTTCCATTGCATGTGTCTTGTTCTTCCTGTATTGGCATTTAAAAATCAGTGAGCAATTACAAATTTCCCCCCACAACTATTCCGCCAATTACCAAAGTTTTTTTTTACCCGCAGATGTTGTTACACGCCCACTCAGGCGACATCTAGACGGAGAAATTGCAGGCATATCTTTCCCAATCAAGAAGTATGCCACTGAGGAGCGCGAGTGGTCTGTCTACTCTGCTGCACTCACCATCAAGGGCGACGCGGAACTTCCTCGTCGCTTACGATTCTATCTACCCGGACCCAGGTTCACACTCGTGGGCAAAACCTGGCTTCATCACGGACGCGCGACAGTCGACATGACACCCATTGTTTCCGAATGGTTCAATCACCGGTCCTCCATGCACGTCCTCGTGCAGTGCGCTGCGTGCCTTCCCGGAGAATTGGTCGCCAATTCGACCTACGTCGAAGTCGTGTTAAAAAAGCAAGGAATCAAGACCGTGGCCCCGGCGAGAGCGAAACGGTCGTTGGCGGAGAAGCGGCGACGAGAGGCGCCGTCTTTGCCGCCTTGCGAGTCCGGAGAGCATACGGATCAGTGTTGCCGACGGAACATGACGGTGGATCTTCGCTGGATGCCTGGTTTCCACTTCCTTCCGAACCCGTTGCTATTCAACGCATACGTTTGCGCTGGCGAATGCGCTCCGAAAAATTCGCACCCAATCCGACATGCGCTTCACAAGGTGAGCTTTCCCCCCTGTGCTGTTCTCTGACACTTTTCAATCTTGCCTAACCTAATTAAACTCAATATGTAGCCTAACCTCGATGCAATCACAATAAAACATTCACAAGATTGGAGTGACACCTAAGGAAAACTGAAGAAATATCTAAGAGCCAGAAACATTGGGTATTTTAAGCGCAAAAAAACTGCTACCATTTCTCTCTTAAAGTTTTTAAAACTGAGTGGAAGAGAGTGTTTGATGGTATGTCCATGGGTTTTTTTCTGGAATAAGAAATACTGCACAATAAAATCTCATTATAACAAACTTTTGGGGACTTCAGAAAAAAATTGTATGCTGAATAATTTTGTATACATATGGTACCGTGCAATTGGACCCCAATATATTGGTGGACCAAGGTCAAATATTGTGTATAACTAAATAAGAGCAGAACAAAAACACTTGAAAAGTGGCTGAAGCAGGTTAAATTGTTGGACATAGATAAAATTGCAAGTCAACCTCTGAGAAAATTTGACCATTAAATTGCAGGAGGTCAAATTGCAAGGTACTGTACCACCTAGAGCAGGATTTTTCAAAATTGATGATGGAAAAAAATTCAAATCAGACCTGCCTTGTTGCTTGAATCTTGCTTTTCTGGAAATCACAAAATTTGTATTATTGTTTGAAGAACTGAGTAATCTTCTGGAAAAATAGCTTCAATCATGCATTACACCAGTTTCACAAATCTCTTCATTCTTGTAGGATGATGTGTGGCACTGGAAGTTGGTTTTCTTTATTCATGATTACAGCTTGCATTCATGCTACAAGAACCAGTCATCAGTCATATTTGGGATCAGAAATTTCAGACTGTGCCAGCATTATAATCAGCAAAATTCTGCCCGGAGAATCTATTGAACATTCCTCGATAAGTGTGTTATACAGTACTGGAATTTGGGATTTTGTTATCATGAAATTCTTTCAACATTTAGGCTATGGGCTTCTCTCGAAATTTAGGCTTTCTGCTGGGATTTGGGTTGTAATTTCTTGCAGTGGAAATTTTGTTTTACTGTACTTGTTTCAATGGATTTTACTCTAGTTCCATCCTATAATTCTTGGTGGCTTTTCTTTCTGCTTCAGGAATTACAGTACGAGAATGCAGAAGATCCTGAAGAATCCACTTCTTGTTGTTCTCCGACCAAGTTCGAACCACTTCGAGTTTTCTACCACGACATCGAAGGTCGTCAGCACACGAAAACTTGGGATAACGTTGTGGTCGCAGAATGCGGTGGTTCCTGAATAGAGAGATCAATTTCACTGAAATTTCTGCGCTGAAATTGCCGGCGATGAAACTTTGCTGAATCGCCTGAGTTTGTTTTTTGTGGCTATGGCCAAGTGCCATGGAACTGCTGAAATAATCAGCGGAAATTCTGCCATCGCAAGGCGATTTTATCCTCCGGAGAACTGGCTTGTGGAGCTGGTTCCAATTGCTTCGGGTGACGAACGAAAATTAGATAATATTTCGTCGTTGGTTAATTTTTTCTAGAGGAAATTGAAGGAGTTTTTTCTGGTCAGTATTGTTGTCTCGTCCATTCTGCGTGTGACAGAATGTATGAATTCCAGAAAAGCGTTCGGAGTGGATCATTTTCAAGAAATCTTCGTTCGCTTGAACAAGCTACATGTTCAATTTTTGAGCAAGTTTTAGAAGCATTTATTGGGCATATCGAGAACTCACGGTCGTCATTGCAATAGTGGTCTAAATTATTGTGGTCTGTTTTGTTGAATACTGTAATAAGGCTTCAAGTGGCATTCGATGTTGCGTTGTTGGCTTTCACTTGACCAATCAGTTATGTTTTCTCGGGAATGTTGATGTGCAAATACAAATGCAGCGAAAGAACGGCAGAAAAATCTTCCTTTTTATTTTGTTGGAAGCACCGTAAATGAGACGAAAAGAATTCCTTATGCGCTTGTTCCTTTGTACATGAAAAATGCATAAATTCTCGCACGATCCGACTATAGTCACGATGCATTTCCCGAAATTTTCTGGAAGCAGAAATTATTAATTTGGAAGATAATACTTGATAAAAAAAATGTTAAACGAAATTTAAAAAATGGAAAGTGGCAGATACTTTTAATATTGGAATGTTGGATGTGCAAGATGCAATTGCAACAAAAATCGATCAAAACCAGCGGGATTTTTCACTAAAAAAAGATCGATTTCACCAATCACTTTCTTGATGTGAATATTTTTCAATCAGCGGGGGGGGGGGGGGGTGCTTTTTCTCCTATTCAACGATTGTCGAGAAAAAAAAAGTGTTCTAGCCACTCATCCCCGAAATGCTTGTTACATTAAAAAAAAGTTTAAAATTGTTGGGCGATCTTCAGAAAACCAAGTCTGAAAATTAAATGAAAAACGGATATCAGCAGGTAATTTTCTTATCGGAATATTAATGTTTACAATAAGATGAAACTCTAAAAAAATCGATCCATTTACAGCTGGGGTTTTCAGTGGAAAAAAACGTGTTCTCATCACCATGATGCTGGATTATATTCAGAAAAAGTGTAGAAAATTATGGAGTGTTCTTGAGAAAGCCAAGTCTAAAAAAAACTGACAGCGCGCAGCAGGTAATTTTATCATTGGAATGTTTGGTCCGCAAAATACAACAAACGACATATAATACGTATGTTTTCAAACTTGGGAGACAGAAGATTCAATATGCGGAAATTAATGTCAAAATACAATGCATGAAATCTCCGGAGCAAATTTCAGGGATCCTGTTGTGGCGTTAAATTTGGTATTCATCCACCTTTGATCACGTTGACAAAATGCATTCGTGTTCGGGAATGACTTCCTTCAGGATTCCACCTTCGAACCCCCGTCTATTTTCGAGCAGAGATCCTGGAAAGCAATCAAAAAATTTATTTGTAAATGATATATTCATAGTTCTTTAAAAGTATTGGACATACTGTACTTTGTGAACTTTAAAAAAATGAGCGATTTAGCTGGATTTCATCCAGAGTTTTCAGATTGAGCTTGATCATCGGATAAGCAATCAAACTTAATTTTCAGTGAACATTGAAGGAAATATATTCAATATCAAATGCTCGCGGCCTTTTCTTCGAATTGAATTGTCAGTGACAGTTTGACCTTGATAAGCTGAGCCTCGATCAATATGAGAAAAATCTTGCATTTGTAATATTTATTCCTTTCCTGAATTTCTTTGAGAACAAAATAATAATATAGGCCCCCCTAACTCAAACACTTTCCCCTCAAACTTCTATGATTTTAACCTTGAAAGGTCTGGGTCCTGCTGTAGTAATAAAAACGGAATTTGGTTTTTAAAAAACGATAGACAAATCACAAATGCACCCTCGTCTCAAAGTTCGAAATACTGACAACTCATTTATCCAGCAGTCCACGGCCCAGAATATTTTCAAGTTCAACTTCCTGATGGCGTATGACTGACATTTTTCCAGGAACATCTTCGTTTCCCTGCCTAAAAACTCTCGAAGTCGTTTATTTTTGTTGCGTGTTTGTCTGAGTTTGAATGCAATAACAGGGTTGAAGGCATTCATTTTGAATCTAGTAAGTGATTGAACTAGTGTTTTTGCAAAAAGTTGGGGGGTGTTGTTGAAGACAATAAAGTACAGTTCGTCGATCAGAATTACCTGAACTGCAGAACGAAGTTGCCGATGGGCCGGAAGATGTGCGTTGAGGGCGAAGATTTCACTTTTCAATGTGTAAAGTCTCTGGTTTGCCAAAGACAGTTTGACATTTTCCTTTTTGAGAGCATTCATAGACTCTGCGTATTTCTGCTGCCACGTTGAAGACTTCGTCTTCGTTTTGTTTGCTTCAGTCTTGGCCAATGTCAACTCTTTCTCCAACTGACGGAGGCAAAAGTAGAATTAATTAAAACGTGCACACATAAGACCGCCATATTTTTAAGAAGCAAGGGTTCATTTCAAAATTATTTTCATTACCATTATACTGAGGTCACTGTGTACTGATGTTCGAAGAAGGGTCCTTTTTAAATCTTAGCGTGCTGGACCAAGCAAAGTGACAGTGGACAGTGTTTCCCAACCCAAGGTCCGGGTCAAAGTTTTTTACCAGTCCACAGGAACTTTTCTCCAGCATAATAAATTTTTTTTATGTAGCAATAATGTCTGATGCATGTATCTGAAATTTCAGGAAGACTGCGGCAGTTACAAAATGAAATTTGGTCTTTCCCCTAATAACACTTCAGAAAAATTTTCACCAGCTGAAATAAATAATTTTATTTTTTAATTTTGAGAAACCTTTCTTCAAGGCCAACTTCCCAATTTTTAAAAGACATTCTGCTATAGCTGTTTCATTGGTACTTGACTTAATTTTGGCAACAAAAAAATTGAAGCTTTTTAACCCTTGGAGGGCAGAGGGTTCCTGAAATGCACCCATGTAAGTTGGGAAGGCCCAAGTCTGTAAAAATCTGGGAAAGGTGAATCCTTTTGTATTCCAAAATCTCAAATGCTATAATCCCATGCAAGGAATTCATGAAAAATGCCACCCAGTGAGGAATTTTTTAGGCAAATTTGTCTGCAGGATTATAAAAATATTGGACTTTTTCCCAACTTAGGACTTGGTGAGGAGATCAAATTTTTTAAATTGCCAGTGCTCATGGGCTCAAAATTTTGCAAAAATATCCTGATTTGGCCACACAAGGATTGAATACCAGCAATATAAAGTCTTTCAAATACAAATTTTTTAGTCTACAAAAATTTTATGAAACTTTACTAGTCCATAAAACATTTTTTGGAAATTTGCCAGTTAAAAAAAAAAATTTGGAAATTTTCTGGTCTGCGTGCCAAAAAAAGTTGGGTAACACTGGTGTAGACCAAGAAATTATTCTCTGTGGCTGATGCTTACCCTACTCAAAGTTTCCTCAAGTGATTGAATCTCAGCATTTTTAGGCTCCAATTCGCCCTTCAAATCAACAATTTGTTTTTTCAGGGCTATGGTCGCTTTGTCAGTTTCATGCATCTTGCTTTTCATGACGAAGAGTTGTTTTTCCTGAAAAAATGCAAAGCAAGAATTTCAGAACATGCCGCGCTTTCAGGGATTTTTTTTTTTTTTGCACTCTGACCCTGTCTTGGATGGTTTGTTCTCTATCCTTTATTGCGAATCTCAAAGCGTAGATTTCTTTGTCAGCAGTTTGACCTAGTCTTGCCAATCTCTCAGCCTCGGTTCTCCATTTTTTCAATTCCTCCTCTTTCGATGTGGACGCTTTCGCATTCCTATGATGATTCAACAAAAAAATTGGCGTTATTTTTCGGAGTGTTCATATTTCGCTCGAATTTTCAACTCACTGTTCACATTGTTTCTTCAGCAAGCCGACTTCAGATTTCAGTTTTGTGATCAAATCATCCCGTTGTCGCAGGCTTTGTTCGCACTTGGTCATGAGGTTTAATATTTCTCTGTCGGTTTCCTCCTCCATTTGCTCCCTCCATTCCACCGTTTCTCTTTTCTCGACATTCCATTCATTCTTCATCTGAAAAACGGGGTTGGAAAGCCGCGTTTATTGTCGGACCCTTTGTGGAATTTTACCTGTTTCATGAGGGCATCTTTATCCAGCAACAGTTCCTCGAATTTTTCCCTCTGGATTTCCATTGCATTCTGATGCTCTTCCTCCAGCTTCTGGAGTTTTCTGCAAAAGCAGAAGAGGTGATTTTTAATTATTATATGAATGAATGAATGAATGAATGAATGAACAGAATGCTTTATTTTCCGCTTTTCAGCATTCACAAGGTTCAATCAAGATTTCCACATCCAAACCCACCCAACCCAAATCAACTCAAAGACATTTAATCACTTCAGAGCAGGACACAGAGAACAAATGGATAACAAAAAGAAAAAGAAAATACAATCCACAAAATACAACCTGATATCTGACATGTATGCATACACCCATGGCAATCAATTTTATTATATTAAATTGATTACCATGCGCCCTGAAATAAGACACATACACAGGTTGTGCAACTTTGGGTTGACCTTGGTTTTTTCTAGAGTATAGTTACCACTTAAAAAAAAGATATGATTTAATCCATGCTATTGTGAGGTTCTGAGATATTTTCCAGATTTTTGTGAAATTTTTGAGATTTAACGCATGATAAGTGAAAACTTTTCAGTTGTGGCCAGAGTTCTCCACCCATGTCATAAGGTGTTGATAAGTTTCCAGAACAGGTGAAATGAAAATGTAGATTTTGTTTGTTTCAAACATGAATTTCTTTACATCTTGTGTAATTTAAAATTTTTTAAAATGATTATTTTGTTTGCAACAAATGAGAACCAAAAACATTTTGCGTCTTTTCAAGAGCAAGGGTTCATTTTCAATTTCTCATATACAGTACTGTACTTCACACATGAGTCAGTGAGAAGATGCAATACTGTGTATATATTGAAAGAATTAACCTAATGGATAATCAGGTCTCGATTGGACTTGATGCTCATTGATTCTTCCTCTGGTTATATCGCATCATCTATCATGGTTTCTGTTGGTTTGATACTCTTGGATGAATTTAGCTCTTCAGGAAAATGAGCTGCAGATTCAAGGTGTCACCCAAGTGAGTGAAATTTAACCTCATAGTTTCTTAGAATTTTTAAAATTATGTTCCCGGCGTTCACGCGCATTCTTTTCATTTGGGTTTGATGGAATAACATGCATGTGGTACTTGAGTAGGTACAAGTACTTATTTTCAGCAAAACTTACTTTCGTTGTTGCTCATGGAGGCTTTCTGAGCTTCGGACGAGTGCTTGGTACCTGGTTTCCTGAGCGGCGAGGGCATTTTGCTTTTCCTTCTCCAAATTTTCCTTCAACTTCAAGACTTGCTGGTTGGAACTTGATTCTAAATTGTAACTACGATTTCGTTCG